TTTTTTTTTTTTTTTTTTTTTTTTCTTAATGATCTAAGAATGTGCAGAAAGTTGCATTTCATGTTCATGTAAAAAATTATTTTTTCATTTATATACAAAAAATTATGAGCAAAAAAAAAAAAAAAATAGTTTAAATCTATGGAAAAAAAAAGAAATATTTAAAATTTAACATAATGAAATTTATGTTCATTACGTTACATTATAAAAATTTTGCTTATGTTAAATAACCACATAAAAAAACTATTTAAAAGAAATAATGTTTAAAAATAGATAAATGCATTTAAATTTAATGGAAAATAGAGAAAGAGTACTATTTTATTATAAAAAAAAAGTAACTTATTTTAAATATAAGATTAAAAAGTAAAATAAAATATAAATAAAATTATGAGTTTTAAAAGTCAATTAATTTTCCAAATAAAATGTGCTGCAATATTTGACGCTTTTGAATAATTTCAGCTTGATACATTTTTAGTAATCCTGAACATATTTTCTCCCTTTTTATTAAAAAAAAAAAAATTTTATATTATTATAAAAAATAATTTTAATTTTTTTATTATTATATCTTTTTTATATTTTCCTTTTTTTTTTTTTATTTGCACCATGTTTCAACTCCAGAAATATTATACAACATTTGAGAGGATTCATGAAAAGGGGCATGTTTTAACTGAAAAGAAAATATGTGAAATATTAAGAAATAAAATATATATTTAAAATACCTTTTAAAATATATATATATATTTACAAGAAGTTATAAATATTTTGTATATAAAATATATTATATTTGTTAATGTACCATTGATATATATTTTAAAGCATCAAAATATAAATATTTTGGAGCCCATAATTCTACTAATTCCCTTTTTTCAATCTATTAAAAAATATTAAGATTAGTATATATATATATATATATATATATATATATATATATATATATACTAAAGAAATACTAAAACGTATATTACATCATCTGTTTTAATATTTCTATTATAAGATAGTTGAGCTGCCCCAAATAGAAATACAAGAAATTGAAAATCATCTAATCCCCATGCACCTCTACTACCTGCTGGTTCTACTGTGTAAATTACTTGTATTCTTCTTACTCCCTCTAAATATCTGAATATTTAGAAAAAATATTAAATATAAGAAACAATAGATAGATGAATGTAAAATATTAAATAAGGTGAACAAATGAATTATTGTCTTTTTCTTTTATCAAATTTTTTTTTAAATGAAATATTACTGTCTATATAAAACAAGAACAAGATGCTTATAATCTGATACATTAAAAAAATTTAATTTATTTAAACAAAAAAGAAATAGTAAGAAATTTAATTCATGACCAGTACCATAATCTATTCTATTTTTGTTTCCTATAGAATTTTTTAAATAATGTGCTAATTGAAAAATATGTTCAGATATATTGGGAATATTAGATTCACTTAAAATTTGAGGTAAATTATCATCAATTTCTTTATAGTATTCATCACAAAAATTTTGGAATCCTTTATTCCCAAAACGAGAAGATTGTTTGACAGGAGGACAAGAATCAATACATTTATTCATATTTTTTACAAGTTGAAAAATATTATAAACATTTCTTGATAATAGTAAGAAATCATCGCTACTTTTTTTATTTTCATTTGCTAATTTAAAATTTTCTAAAGGTCTCATTTCTATTGCTACAACTGATTTATTTAAATTCGAAATAAAATCAATAATTTCATTGTATATAGGACTATTGATAAATTTTATCACGCTTTCATCATTAATTATTTTATAACTTAATCCACTATTATCAGACATTTTTATGAATAAACGGATAAATATTAAACAAAAAAAAAACAAAGAAAAAAAAAAAAAAAAAAAACAAAAATGATATATATATCCTGAAGAGTTAAAATTTTACTACTATAAACATAGTATTATTTTCTTTGTAATAAAAATAAAAGATAATTATATATTTTTATTATGTTAAAAATTTTTATAGAAGTAAACTTATTCCAAATTGTACACACATAAATTTTTGCTAATTATACTAGAATTATTATTTTTCATTAGAATAATATTTTATATTTTTTTATTTATTTTTTTTTTCTATATAGCTTCATAATAGAATAGTAACTACCTTAAAAATATTTTTAATAATGTATTTATTATTTTTTTTTGCTTTTTTTTTTTCTTTTAGTATTTAGTTAATAATAATAAAAACAAAATAATAGTATTTTCATAAAAGCTAATATTAGGTCATATATAAAAAAAAAAATAAAATAAAATATTTTGAAAGAAAAATAATATTTTTTTTAAAAAAAAAAAATAAAATAACAAAATATTTTAATATCACATCCATTAATATATTTTATACCAAAAAAAAAAAAAAAAAAAAAAAAAAAAAAAATGATACTATTTAGATTGTATATTTATCTTATTTCTTTATTGTATTCATAAATAAAATAATACTTTTTAAAAAAATAAATTATATTTATTTTATTTGCTGTTTTCCATACGTTTCAATTATTATATTTCCTTATTTTTTTAACTTACAACAAATTTTACTGATTTCCACGATATCATAAAGGAAAATAAGATATTCATATAAATGTGTATTTTTTTTTTTTTTTTTGTTTTATTTTTTATTGTAAATTGGTATTCATATTGAAAATGGTAAATAATGTTTTATAAATCTTAAATTATTATTTATAAGAAAAATAAATGTTTCAACGTTATTAAAATATATATTTCAATGCATGGGAGAAATTTTGTTCATCATATTAAAATTGTTACCAAAATTAATTAAAAAAAAAACAAATGAAAGAATAAATGTAATTACCATATAGAAAAAAAAAAAAAAAAAAAAATTTAATATATATTATTTTTTTGAGTTATAAGATTCATAACTCTTAAAATAAATAATATATTATAAAAAACATTAATGTACAAAATAAATCTTTAGTATTATTAAAAAAAAAAAAAGTTGTTTTTTTACATATTTTTAACATAATTATAAATTTTATTAATGTTATCTTCAAATTAGTGTTTAAAAATGTTAATATAAAATAATTTTTTATAAAATGTTATTTTTAATTATTAATTACATTTTCATGTATTACTTACATTTATGTATATTCACTATTTTCGTTAAAAATAAAAAAAAAATAAAATGAAATTTGAATAAATATTAGGTTATTAGCTAGATTTTTATATAAATATAAAAAATTAAGAAATGGCTTTTTAAATAAAAATTATTTTATAAAAATAAAACCATAATAATAATAGTATTTTATATTAATAAGTAAAAATATATATTAAATTAAATTTCTATAACCATGATTTATTATTTAAAATGTACTTTATTTCACTAATCTTATGTTTTTATAAATTCATAACATGTATTATTAAATTTAAAATACAAATAAATAAATAAAAAATTATAGATATAAATTAAACAGAAAAAAATTAAAAATTTTTTTTTTTAATGTTGCCCTTTAATATTAAGATTATGAATGAATGGATAGTTTCATTGATGAAGAGTTAAATTCAGCTGATGAAAATGAACCCGTTTTATTAGATATAAGTGATTTATTGAATTTGAAAAGACAAAAAAAAAAAAATATAAAAGAGGAACTTAATTATGTTCAAAAAGATTTTAATTTTCTAAAACCAGTAGAAGATAATTATGATGACAATGAATTCTTAATAACCGAAAAAGAAAAAACAAGATTAAAAAATAAAGAATACTGTTCATCAAAATATACTAATTATTATTTAAATATCGGTTCCATATGTAAGAATTGTTATAAAAGAACATGCAAAAAATTAGGAAACATTTTCACTCATAAAAGAAGAGATGAAAATTTTTTTAGTTATTCAAATACGTTTTCTAGTGATTGTTTTAATATATTAGCTAACCGTTTATACTATTCAAAAATTACATCCTATATATATTTTTTTGTTCTTTTATTAAATATATTTATCCTAATATATTGTTTTTTTACAAAAATACTGAATAAATTTGTGGTTTGTTCTGAAATTTTTGTTATTTTTATGTTATTTATAGAAGTCTGTCTAAGATTAATAACTGAAGTAATATAAAAAAAAAAAAAAAAAAAAAAAAAGGCATATATATATGTATATATTTTAATTATTCTTTATTATAAAAATAAACTTTAAATAATATTAAAAATGCATATAGACATATATTTATTTTTATATGTTTTGTTAACAAAAAATGAAAAAATCTCTTTATTTATAGGGTAGCAATTATTTTTATCATTTTGATGGTCTATTTGATGTAACAGTTACAATAATGTGTTTTTTGCTTCTAATAAGTAGTGGTGACTTGAAAATATTTAATGAAACTAGCATAGTTAAAACAAAAAATAAAGAAATAGAAGAAATTATTTCTCAAAGTTTAACAGTATTACGATTTTCATTTCAATTATTTAGAACAATAACTTTGTTTATGCATCATAAAAGAACAAAAGTATAAAACTTGCATTTTTTTTTTTTTTTGCTGTATATATATGTAAATATATATAATTTTTTAAATTAATTCATTTATATATATTAAATATAATTTGTTATATAATTTATTACATATAACTTATATTGTTTATTTACACGTATTTTCAAAAAAATCATGATGTAATATATTAAGAATTCTATAATTATTATTTTTACTTTTAGATTTATTTTTAATTCATATATTATTTTATAAAAAATTTTAATAATTTTTTTTCTTTTTTTTTTTTTAAATAGGCACCAAATGATAATATAGACTTTTCTTTGTTAAATTTGCCAAAAGATGATTTTTGAAAATATCTTAATTCAAAAATATAATACAAAACAAAAAAAAATAAAATAAAATGAATAATCAAATAAATTAAAAATTAAAAAAAAATATTTTAGACAGATTTAAAAAAAAATTGAAAAAACTAAAAAAAAAAAAGAAAAAAAAAAAAAAAAAAAAAAAAATATATATATATATATATGTATAAATGTGTATATATTTTAAGTTAAATATTTCCTTTAAAATCTTCTTTTTTTTAAGTCTCTAAATGATAAATTTTCAAGGTTTGTTGGATGAATAATTGCATCTCTTTCATAATTTTTGTTATTATCATAAGTAAAAGAATCTATTAGATCAAGTTTTTTTTTTTTCTCATTTATGGTATCCTTTTTCTTTTCTTCTATGGTATTTTTTGTAGTTATGGAATTAATAAAAACTTTTTCTGACATATTTAAATTATTATCAATAGAAGAAAAATTATGAGGTTTTTTAAAATATGTATTATTGTTATCATTAATATTTAACTTGTCTTTTTCATTCATTCCAAGTTCAATTATGTGAGTTTTTCTTTTATTCTCATATGGGATATTGCACATTTTCTCAATATCTCCTTTTTTATCTTTTAAAAGAGAATTCTTTTCATTTAAACCTAAATTTTGTACTTCATTTATAAACTTAAAATCATCATCAAAAAAAGCACTCAAATCATTTTTCATTATGTTGTTATTGTTAGCATTATAATCACTATTATCACTATTTTTATAACAAAATTTATTAAGAACTGTTAATTTTTCACTATTAAACTCTTTATTTATGCTTTCATTTGCATTATTTATTTTAAAGCTACTCTCTACATTTTTAGTTTTAAAATTAACATTCATATCTTTTATATTATCTTCACTTCGATAATTTTTATCATACTTATTATAATCATTATTATATACATTGTGATTATTAAAATTATTTACACTAAATTTACTGAAATGATTATTATTATTATTATCAATGTGATTTCTATTACAAACATTTTTATAAGAACTTCCATTACTATGATTATCACTATTGTTGTACTCATGAAGTTTGTCAATATTATAACTCTCATTAAAAGGATTACTATTCCTATAATTGTTACACTCTAAATTTTCTTTATATTCATTGTATATTTCTCTATTATAATTATTATTAATACTGTTATTTCTGATATTTTTTTTTTCATTATTATTTATACAATTACTTTTATAATTACTCATATCGTTATTATTATTAATGTAAGTTTGTTCTTTATTAAAATTTACGTAACTGCTTTTTCCTCTACTTAAATAATGGTTATTATCTTCATCACCATAGTTTCTGTTATTATTTTTCTCATTATCCTGAATTGTATTATTTTGATTTTTATCATATTCAAAGGAAGTTATTAAATTGGAAAATTTTTTTAATGAAGATTTTTGTATAGTGGCAGAATATGAAGGGTTATTTTGATTAAAATTATTTATATTTATATCTGTTTCTAATTCATGTAATAAACAGAATCCCCTAATACCTGAAGCAATTTTTTCTAAAAAAGTATTTGGGCATATAGGTGATATATTATCAACATATTTTCTTATTAAACCTACTGATGTTAATCTTTTATAGCATATATCTTTTAATGGTTGATCTGATATTAACTGAAAAGGAGGAATATTTTGTCTTCTTGCTTCTAACATTCTTGTTCTTAATAAAATTTTCATGATAGAATCATTAATTTGTTCATTTGATAATTTTCGTTCTTTTTCTCCATTATCTTTAAGATAACTATTTTTATCAGTATTAAAATAATCATATTTATTAATAGGATTTTTATTATTATTATTATTATTATTTAAATTTGTTTGTAAGGAATTTTCATCAACTTCTGAATCTATCTTCTTAAAATTTTCTTTTTCTACATTACTCATAAAATAATTCTGAAATTTGCTATTACAAGAATCTGAGTTGGAAAAATCATTTCTTTTAGTACTATTTACTTCTGCTTCATAATTGTTATTATATTTATTTTTTTTATTTTTATTTTTATTATTTTTTTTATTATCAGAATTTTTCACAACATTGGATAAGAAAAAGGGTAAACTAATAACATATTTCTCTTCGCCATTTATAAAATTTTCTCCCTTACTTGTTAACCCAATACTTATGTAACTCATATCACTTCCATAATTTAATGTTTCTTTAACGAATTTATCATTTCTTGCAACTTTCATAAAAGAAGACCACCAATTTGTAGATTTATGTTCTCCTTTTCCATACTCTTTAATATTGTGATAATTTTTTTTAATTATACTTGATTCTTTACTTTTTACTAAAATTTTGCAAATAGTTGATATTCCAGTTTTTCCTTTTAAGGATGATATGCAACTTAATAAAATTTTTAATTCATGAGTTAAATCTACTAAATCACCAAATACAGATGTAGTTAACAAAGATGTTCTCATATTTTTTTTTGTATTTTTATTATTATTTTCATTTTCATGATTCTCATTATCTTTTCCTTTTAATATGTCATTACTAATCCTTATGTTATTAGTATTACTAAAAATTTTATCTATTTCTTTTTTTTTTTTTTTAATTTCACTTAAATAATGCATGCAATTATCACATCTTGCACATAAATAGATATCATATTTTTCTACATAATAACACACACCTAGATTGTTTTTCTGATCAAAAATATCAATATCTAAAGTTTTTATTGGTTTTTCATCAAAATATTCGTAAATTTTTTTTCTTCTACAAGCTGTAGAATAAGCATAATCAGATGCATCGGTAAACATAGTAATAATATGCTTAACCCTTTCAAAATTTGTTTCTATTAAATTATTAGCTGTGTTTTCTCTCAAAATAATGTTTTTTGTTTTTGATTCATCATTTATATTAAAAAAAAGAATAGCTTCAGCATTACTATTGTCCCTACCTGCTCTTCCAACTTGTTGAACGTATGCTTCTAACGATCTAGCAAAACCATAATGAATAATTCTGCGAATATCTGGCTTGTCAATACCCATCCCAAAGGCGACTGTTGCCACTATAATTTGAATCTCGTCTTTTAAAAATTTTTCATGAGCATCTTTTTTTTCTTCATTACTTAAATCAGCATGATACATACTAACTAATAATCCTTTATCCTTCAAAAAATCATGAATACTTTCACACTCTTTCTTGGAATTTACATATATTAAAGTAGAGTTATATGGGCATATTTTCGAATTATCTATGAATTTTTTGGTTCTCTCTAAAGACTTTTTAACTGGGATATCTAATATATATTTTAAATCATCATAAAGATTTGTTTTCGTTTTAACACTATAATATAAATTCTTTTTATTTACACTACTTCTTTTTATTAAACAATTGTTTAAATCAAAATTTAAATTTTTTAAAATATCACTTTGAACATTTTTTGTACAAGTTGCAGTTAAGCACATAATAGGTATTTCCTTTAATATACTTCTTAGTTCATTTAGTTTTCTATAGGATGGTCTAAAATCGTGACCCCATTCAGACATGCAATGAACCTCATCAATTGCAATTAATAATATTCTTTTTTTTAATAGGGTAAATAAATTCTTATTATTTAATGCATATTCAGGACTACAATAAACTATATTATATAAGCCATGTTTAATTTCCGTTAAAATTTTCTCACTATTCATTTTTTGTCCACTTCCTAAAAATACTGATGATATTTTTTTTCTGTTTAAATTATCTACTTGATCTTTCATTAATGATATTAAAGGAGAAATGACAATTGTAAATTTTTTTTTTGATTCATCCATTAATGAAGGAATTTGATAACAAAGTGACTTTCCCATTCCAGTTGCCATGACGATAAAACTATCTTTTTTATGAAAAGTTGCATGAACAGCTTCTACTTGAAAATCTTTTAAATTTTTATAGCCAAAATGCTTTTTTTGTGCTATTTCCATTTTTATCCTTAATTCATCTAAAGTATAATTAATATTAGAGTCATTATCAGATTTCTCAGTATCTGAACTACTTACAGTTTTTTTTGTTGTAATATATTTCATCATTTTGATAAAATGAAAAAAAAAAAAAAAAAAATATCTTCTATATAGTCGTATATATATATACTTTTATCACTCTATTTTTATATATATAAATATATATATATATATATATAAATCAAGTTCAAATTAGCATACACCCTTTTTATCAAAGGATTTTTAACTTTTTTAAAATGCCAATGAAGAAAATGCCATTTTGGGATATTTACATATATATATATATATTTTTTTTTATTTTTATTTTTTTTTTTGATGTCAAAATTTTAAAAAATAAATAAAAAATTATAAAAAGAAATTTTAATATTTCAAGTAATAAAAGAAATTCAAATAAAAACTTTGCTTACATTTCTTTATACTTTATAAAAAACATTTATATATGTATATTCATACATATAATATATATATATATAACAATATAAAATAAATCTTAAAGTCAAATTTATATAAAAAATTTTATATTAAAAATAATGTAACCATTGTCTTAATATAATATAGTTATTTTTTTTTTTTTTTTTTTTTTTTTATTTATTCTTTTTCAATGTGTATCTTTTTTTTTCTTTTTTAAATAGATGTTTTTAAAAAAATACAATTTAAAAAGATAAATTTACATAAAAAAAACATCTATAAATATAAATATATATATATTATATTTTTTTTTTAAATTATACAATGTTTAATCATTTTTTTTAGAGTTCATTGAGCAATTTATGATATAAAGTTCCTTTATTCTTTTTTATTAAATCCTCAAAAATTATCTAAACGAAACGGATCATAATTATTTTATTACATTTTTTTTTTTTTTTTTTTCTTACATAAATTAAATTATGATAGTTTTCTTTTTTTAATTTTTATATAAATTTAAAATATTACATCTTTTAATATGAAAAAATTATCCTTTTTTTATTTTTGTATTTTTTTCTAAGTAATAAATTCTCATATAAAAAACACACAGTGTAATGAATATAAAGTTATTTATTAAATTCATTTTTAAAAAGCATGTTAAAATATATAGGAAAAAAATTTAACATAAAAAAAAAAAAAAAAAAAAAAACCAATTCAGAAAAAAATATAAACAAAAAATTTTTTTTTTACTTCGAATATTTGTTTCAAGAAAGAATATATTCAAATTCTGAAAAAAGCAAAAAAAAAAAAAAAAAAAGTTATCACATTTCTGTATTTATTCCTGTTTGAACAAGTGTTATTTTGTCTCCTAAGCTAAGAGCTATTCCCTATTTAAAAATAAAAGAAAAATTACATGAAAAATAAAAAAATAAAATAAAATAAAATAAAATGAATAAAAAATTAATATTTTGGTTTTCTTTATTTATTTTTTAAATACCTGTGTTCTACTTCGAACTCTTATACTTCCTGATAATTTTCCATCAGAATTTTTTTGAACAGATAAGTTGGCTAAAGAATCCTCTCCAAATATGCTTCTAGAAAATAAATTAACAGCAAAAAAAGCTGAGTTATTAATCAAACATTTTAAATCTTCTAAGGTCGAAATGTAAGATATATACACATCAATTGGACTAATATTAGCCTGTTCAGGCTTATTTTTAGTTTCCAATTCATAATACTCTAAAGGCATAAATTTCTCAACTATGGTCATATTCGTATTTTTTATAATCAACTTTAGTAACTCAAATGCATCTCTACAAAATAAATAAATATATATATATAAAGAGAAGAGAAAAAATAATTTTTTTTTTTTTTTTTTTTTTTTTTTTTTTTTATAAATAAAACCTGATAGAAGTGTTAATATTAATTTTATTTTCCCATTCAAATTCAGACCACATTATGCGAAAAAGATGAGAAGATATAAAAGAGGCATTTATATAATCAGTCATGTTAACATTCAATTCATTTAATACAATGTAATTTTTATTACTATCATTTTTTTTTTCATAAAAAATATATCCAAATACAATTCCTGTTTCTGTTGTGTGTACTTTTACACTTATCTTGAATTTTCGTTTTTCATTTGGAGATAAATTAAATACAGGGATTTTATCTATAGGTTTTAAGTTTCCATGAGTTGATAAATTAATGTATATGTTTTGCAAGTATACTCCTGATTGATTATATACATAAAATTCTATAATTAAATTAATATTAGAAATAATTGGAAATGCTTCAACAAATATATCATCATCTGTTCCCGTTAACCTTTGAGAGTTATATAATTTGGCCAAAAATAAGGAAGAGTAATTATGCTTAAATGAAGGATATTTAAACTCATTTTCTTCAAATAAAATATCATTATTTAATGTATACTTTAATTTAAGTTTTTCTAAATTTTCATTAACTGAAACAGATTCTTCATCAAGCATGTTAAGTATATTTTTTTTTTCTTTTAATACTCTGAAATAAATCTCATCGTCTACATTTGCTTTATCTTGTTCAATTAACATCTTATCATTAGGAATTTTGTTTAAATCAGTTAATTCTGTTGAGGCTTCTTTATTCATTTGATCTTTTTTTTTAACATTTTTATAAGTAGAACCATATATACAGCAATATTTTTCTTCTTCTTTTTCTAAAAATTTCTGAAAGTAATCATCTCCGTTCAAAAAAGTTCTTATTAAATTTTGAGTTTGTTCATCTATAATATTCATGCCATTAGTTATTTTTAAAAATATTTTAAGGCATTGATTTATTCTGATAACATTGCTATCATTTTCATAAATACTAATTGCACATTTTGCATTTTTCTGTACAATATATTTTATAAAACTTGCTAGTATATGTATAGATTTATTTCTAAATTCATTTATACGCTTAATTAAAAATTCATTGTTAGAATTCTCTATATTATCAATTAAATTATTATTTTGAGTTGTTTTATTTAGCTCTTTCGAATTGTGTGAAGACTTTCTAGAAAAACTACTTGATGATTGATTTAAGGAACTACTTAAAAACTCAAAAGAATCATTCACTTTTGTTAATAATTTTAAATATAATTTTGTTAGGCAAACACATATAACACATAAAAGTAAATCATCATTTTCACACAATAGATTATAAGAAAATGAATGTAAATTATCTTTATCATCACTAGAAGATAAATTATAATTCTTTAAGAAAGCTTCAGTAGCATAAGTACCATCTTCTAATATTACAGTTTTTGTCTGAATATTTGAACTTGATAAATTAAAATTCATCATTTTATTTTTTTTATATCTCTCGTTTTGTATTTTATTAATAATATCTAATTCAATATTACTATTTAAAAATGAAGATAAATTTTCATATAATTTGTTCATAAAATCAATAATCATATTTTCATTATTCATATATTGTCCTAATACCCAGAAAAAAATTCTTAATATAGTTGACTTTTTAATATCAAAAATAGCATCAAATATCTTCTGAAGAATATTATTTTGAAAAATTCTATTATTTGCTAGCTTTCTAATGCATACAGCTGCTTCATAATTTATTTCTTTTTCATCGTCATTTACATATATTAGTAGTAAATCAACAATATTTAAGCATTCATTAGAATACATATTACATATATGTTGCAATGATTTAATTAAAATTTTTTTATAATTGTTCACCTCTTGATAACTAGTTGTTATACTATTTATTTGAAAAATATCATTCATATTTTTAAAATTGTTTAATTGATGATTTGTACCACTTTGCATATTTTTTTGAGTTAGATTTTTTGCATATACGATTTGATCATTTAATTTTAATAGTTCTTTTTTTAAAACATTTAAAACTAAATGTACATTTCTTTTTGTTAATATATGTAATACTAAATTTAAAATTTTTATTTTTATATCTCTCGAGGGAAAGCTTAAAGCCCTCAGTAAGTCCATGATATAATTTTCTAGTATATGTTTCCATTTACACATAATATAATATAATTTATCAATAACAATTAACTTAATATTATTATCATGTTGATTAATTAGTAACTTAATAAAACATTCACTAGCTGTTTTTATACTTAAAACAGAATTACTCATATATAGAAGACAACAAGCTCCTTCATATAGTACACTATTACTAACATTTTTACTTAACATATTTAATAGTATTTTAATAACATTATTTTTATATTGACTATAATCATTTTCATTTAATTTTTTCTTTTTTAATTGAATATCTTCACTTAAACTATATAATGGACTATTTTTCTCATTTAAATTATCATAATTATAAATGTCATTTTTTTTATTATTAATAACCATATTTCTTTCGTTTTCTATTAATTTTTTTTTTCTTTTTATTCCTAAACCTTGTTCTTCTTCATCTCCATTTTCATAAAACTCTTCTTCATCGGATCCATTTTCCTCCTTTTCTTCCTCATTTTCTTCATCTTCATCGTTTATTAACAGATAAGAATCATCAAATACATGAGGAATATATAATTTTTTGAATAGATGTATAACTTCTAATAATATTACATCAGCAGTATCATATAATTGGTCATTAAGAGAAAGAATATATTTTAAAGTAGTTACAGGATCGACATCTGTCAACATAGATAATGCACTACGTTTAGTAGATATATCAGTTTCAAGAAGTAACATTTTTTCTACTTCTTTAACAGAATTAGGCACTACATCTAATCCATGTTCTTTAATGATAGTATGAATACAACTTATTGCGTTTTTTCTTACGTAACTATGTCTATGAGTTAAATTTTTTGTAATAGCTTCAATTAAAGGATCTAATATTTTTAAATATTTTATTTTACTTAACAATCTTAAAGTAGACCCTCTTACATATTCATTAGGAGAAATAATATCATTCCTTAAAGCATTACATACTAATATCATTTCCTCTTTTAGGCTGCCATCATTATTGCATTTATCAACAATTTCAAAAAATATATGACTCATTTTTTTTAATCTATGATCTTTATGAGGAACTATAAATCTGATTACACACATCAAAAGGTTCCCATATGATTCACCTTGTATTATATTAAAAATCAAATTTTCCATTCCTTCAATTTTTTTCTCAACATTCTGACTCTCCAATTTTTTTTGAATTTCACTAATTGAAGGAATTTCATAATTATCTGTGCAAATGTAAAGGGTGCAATTATTTTCTATTTCATAGCTACACATTTTTTCAACTTATATAGTGTGTATCTAAATATACTATACATAAATTTTGAAAAATAAAATCTTATAAAATTTTCTTATAATTAAAAAGTGTGTAAATATTAAATTATGTATTATTCATTCAGCAATTTAACATTTATTTTTATAAATCCCTATTAAATAATATTTACTATAATAAAAATATTTTCATAAAAACCTAATTAAATGTAACTTATACTTACACATTTCAAAAATAAAAGTATAAATTACATCAATTATAAAAAATTTATGTGAAACAATACATATTACATATAAAAAGCTATTCAAATTCTTAATCAAAATATGTGTATATAATTCATAAAAAAAAAAAAAAAAAAATCATAATTAAAGTTGTATAAAAATAAATAAAAAATTTGTCATATATAAAATTAAGTATTTTGAAAAAAAATTTACTAATTACGAATGATATGGAACAGTTTTAAAAAATAATACTTATATATATATAAATGTTAAACAATTTTTGTTAATAAAAAGAATACATTTAAATAGATATAAATTTTTACAATTATCTTAAATAATATTAAAAAAAAATAAAGAAAAAAAAAAATATTAGTAAGTAATATTTAATAAGGATAATTTTCATAATATATATTTATTTTTTTTTTTTTTTTAATCACAAAAAAATAAGTCCAAAATATTGAACATTAAATATGTTATATAAAAAATTCTTTTAATATCTTACCTATGTATTTAATGAAATATTTATTTGAAATATGCATTTAATTGAAATTTGTATACTTAATGTATATATATAATTAAATATACTAACTATTTAATAAAATAAAAAGAAAAAAAATATATTTATAAATATATATATATATATATATAACAAACCTTATTAATGTTATAATTATCAAAAAATAACTATTAAAATATATATATATATATATATATCTAAAATTTTTTTACATATTTATATATTATTAACTTTTTTTCTTGATGCATGCTATAAAATTTTAGTATAATAACAGCATTAACTTGTATATTAAAATATTATTTAAAGTAAAAATAAATGTGTAAATATATTTTAACAACAATGATTTTACAAGAACACAAAAGAATATAAAAAAAGTAATAAAAAAAGAAAGGCATATATATATATATATATATATATATATATATAGTTGATATTCAAACTATATAAAAGTATTTGTTAAAGGCAAAGGGTTATATGGAAAAGATTTCTTTATTTTTTATTAAAATAAAAATTTTATATTTTTATGTAACATTTTTAATAGTATTATAATATGCAAATGTATTAATATACATATATTTAATTTTTTTTTCTATTTGTATTTTTCAATAAAATTCAAATGCTTTTTTTTTTTTTTTTTTTTTTTCCAATATTTAATAGTTTTCATTTTTACTAAAAATATATATATTTTTAGGAATTTATATTATTTAAAAAAATTACATCTTTTTTTTTTCTACATAATTTTTAATGTAATAATTTATATTCATAATTCTTTTTTTTGTGTAGAAACTTAATCTGATAAATAGATATATAAAAAATAAAAATGTATGTGTTAATAATGTAAATTTATAAATTTATGGATAAAATAATTTCAAAAATTATAAAATATATGTTTATATTTATAAATATATATAAGGAATTTAAATCTTCTATTTATGGAAAAGAATAAAGTTAAATTTTATAATTTTGTAGAGTAATATTTTACAAAATATGTAAAATTATAAATTCTGTTAACATTTTTAATTTTATTTAAAAAATTGTTTTTTTTCAATTTTTGTATATTAATATAACAAGAAATGCTTAATTAAAAAAAAAAAAAAATTTTTTTTATCTTCTTTTTTCTCGTATTTTTTAAGAAATATATTGATTTGAAAACATTCTGTCAAAGTATTTTTTCTTTTTTTTTTCTTGATAATATGATTAAAAATGGTAAAATATGTAATACTTTAAGAAAATTGTTAATAGTTAATAAGTTTCCGTTATGTAGACACACAAGTAGTCAGAAATATTTTGAAAAGGAGAATGTAAAAAATGCAAGTGAAGAAAATAGTAATTTGAAAGATTCAAATAATAAACTTAATTGGAATTTATGTGAATTAAAAATAGGAAAGCACTTTAGAGAAATGTTTCATGATGGCTCAGAAAAAAATTTTGAAAGTCATCCATTTAATAGAAGATTTGCTTATAGTAAGAAAAGTTTTTTTCCAATTGAGCCAAGAAATCTAAGATCTTTAGGATTAAATAGACAAAGAAAAAAAAAAAGGGGAAGAGGAGACAAATGTCCAGGTAAAGGAATAAGAGACAAACATAAACATAGAAAATCTGGTAGACCTAACAGTCGAACATTTGAAAGTGGTAGAACACCCTTATATAGAAGATTGCCAAAATGGCCAGAAGCATGGTTAAGTAGACAAAAAAAAAACTATGACTGTTTAAATTTATCAAAATTGAGATATTTTATTGAAAAAGGAAGATTAGATATTAGATTTCCTATTACTCAAAGACATTTACATGATTCAAAATGTATAAAAGTAAAAAATGGAGTAAAATTATTTAATGTTAATGATTATCCATTCCCTTATAAAATTGATATTGAAGTTTCTAACGCAGATCAATCTTCAATTGATGTTATTAAAAAGGTCGGAGGATCAGTTACTATTATTTATATGGAAAGAGTTAATTTAAGAGCACATATAAAACCATATAAATTTGAAATTTTACCAAAAACTGCAAGACCTAATCTTGATATGATTCACTTTTTAGAAAGAATGCGAAGTAAAGGGTGTATTGTTAAATATATCAAACCTTTATGGTTAATAGAAGAAGAGAAAAGAATTATAAACGAATTAACAGAAATGGAAGAAAATGCTAAATTATGTGAAGAATTTGACGAAAATAAAAATACTCATAAAAAAGAGAAAGTAGATAAAATAAATGATAAAGAAAAAATATATGAACAAGAAGAAGATGAAGACGAAAGAAGAGATAGACTACTGCAAAAATACAGGTTGCAATACACACAAATGAGAAAAGATGATTAAAAAAAAAAAGAGATTATATCCATGTATATATTTAAAGTAAGAAAAGATATATTTATTATAATTATATGGATTTTTTAATAACATTAAAACCAAAATAATTTTTTTTTTAAATTTTTTTAAATATTATTATTTTATTTATTTGTTTTTTTTTTTTAATTATGAAAACTAAATATATATATATATAAGAATTATAAACATATATTAATTTATAAATTTAATAAAAAAAAAAAAAAAAAAAAGTATAAATTAATAAACTGTAAGATAGACATATATTTTATAATTAAAAAAATTAAGGATGTAAATAGGTATATCAAAAAAATATAAAAAAAAATTATTTGTATACTCAGAAAATGTGTTTTTTAAAAATATATATAATATATTTGTTTAATTTATTATTCAACGCCTTTGTCTTAACTCTACTTTCTTTTTATTTTTATCAACAAGAATTGATGATTTTACTTTATCATCCACATTTTCTTCTTTTTCTTCATTAGATTCATCTTCATTTGTTAATACTTCATTTTCACTTTTTAATTCATCCTTGTTTTCTAATTCTTCTTTATTTTCTAATTTTTTGTCTCTGAATTTTTTTCCTTCTAATATTTTTTCAAATTCTTGATCACTTTTTTTTACTTTTTCTCTGTAATACTTAAGCAAATAGGTAAAACGAATATAAAAAATCCAAGTTATAGAACATAATAATAAAATCCAGAAGTTTCTTTGAAGTCTCATTTTTTTTAAATAAGATCTATTTAAATTAAGAGAATTAATATTTTCAAAATTTACTTTTTCATTATTGTACTTATTTAATTCAAGAATTGTATATGATAATCTTAATAATGAATATAAGGATATAATAGATGATATTGATATATTTATTTTATGAGATTGAATTTGGAAATTAATACTTTTTTTTTGAAGAGATATAGCTAAACTTTGAAGCATTGCTACACCACTTAATAGAAAAATAGATAAAATTATTCCTCCAGGTAAAAAGAAAAAAGCAATATCCTTCATTTTTAACAACACATATACATCTAACTTTTTTTATAATAATAAATTCGAATTTACTATTTAAGCTAACAAGGAAAATATAACATTACATATATATATTTATATATTTATTTATTTATTCATACTTCTTTTATGTTTATAAATATGTAATATATAATAAAATAAATATACTTTACTATTAAAGATTATCTATTTAATAAAAAAAAAAAAAAAATTAAATATATTGAATAACTTTTTTTCTCCTTATTTTTTTATTTTTCTCTTTCCCAATTTTTTTTTTTTTTTTTTTTTTTTTTTTTTATTTAATATTTAATTTACAACAATGTTTTTGGTCTCATTAAAATTTTATTTTTATTTTATATTTTTTTTTTTTTTTTTTAATTTTAAAAATCAGCTACAGTTGATTAATTTCCCAAATTAACATTTCTATATCTTTTTTTTTCATTTTACTTCAAAATAAAGTTTCAAATAATATTGAACTATATATTTCCAAATATAAATACTTATTAATATTTTATAACTTTATAAATAAATATATATTTACTTTTTTTTTTTTTTTTTTTTTTTATATATAAAAGAAAGAATATCAAATTATAATATGCTTAGCATATTATATACGCTAGAACAAAAATAACCTTATGAATAAACAATTACATGTATATTCTTAACATTACATTTTAAGAATATTAAATAAAGAAATGAACACAGAAAAAAATATAGAGATAACTTTATAGAGTTTTCATATGATTAAGCATATAAAAAAAAAAAAAAAAAAGTAAAATAGTATATTATAAAACAAAAATATATTTTTTTGAAGTATTTTATTAAAAAAATGTAATATATGTTACCTTAATAAATATTAAATGAATTAATAAAGTATAAAAAGTATAAATATATTTTAAAAGTCAAAACAGAAATTCATACTAAAGTTATTAACGAAGCTATCTATGAAAAGACAAAATTTTAATTTTTAATTAACATCATATATTTTAAAAAAAAAAAAAAAAAATAATAATAATAATAATAATAATAAAATAATTCAAAAATGAAAAATAAGTTTCATTTATTTTACAGAAAAAAAATATTGAAAGCATAAAATAAAAATGTATTAATTATATTAGAAATATAGATTCTTTTATTTTTATAAAAGAATATTTATATATACATATACTACCATGGATATTAATAAGAAAATCAAATAAAATATGAATTATAAATTTTATATTTTCTTATTCTTTTTTTATACAATATATATAATTTTTTTTTTTTTTTTATTTGTACTAATATATATATTTTTTTATTATATGTTGCATATTATTCATTTTTATTGAAAAACTTCATATCTGAATTATATCTTTGTGCTATTCCTTTTAATCCTTGAACAATTCTAGGAATGTTATCAATATTATAATTCATATCAACCCCCTTAAATTCTCTTTTTTCGTTTTCTTTTAATGAATTAATAAAATACTCACACATTTGAGATTTGTCATGAAATTTCGTTATAAATTTCTTTTGATCTTCTACAGGAATGGAAGAATTATAATCAATTAAATGATCATATTTTTCTAATATTAAATTTTCTTCACTACTTTTCTCATCAATTTCATCTTTTTTTTTATCTTGTAAACTCATTAATTCATTATTATAATCCCAAAAAATATATTTATTTTTATTCATACTTTCAAATTCTTTTTTTATAGACGTAACACTTAACAAATCATAAAATTCAAATAAGTATTTGCAGTTCCAATCCATATAATCATATGCAACAAAAAATTCATAAGAATTTATAATTTTCTTTGAAAAATCTTTTAATTCTAATAAATTATTTTCAGGGCACGTTAGTAATATATACATTTCGATATCATGAAAATTTTCTAATTTTGCACTATTTATTTTATTAGTAACAATTATGAAGCATTTTTTTCCGTTTTTTCTTAAAATATAATTAATTAATTTTCTTAAGTCTCTATTTTTATCCAAATTTACATTACCTATTATTATACCAAAAACATTTGAATTTTTACATTTTTCTATTAAACTATATCTCTTTAATAAAATTTTATCTATAATATTTTCCTTTTTAAAAATGCTTTTTTCGTTATAGATAAATATATCGTAATTACTTCCGTATTCTAATAAAGATCTATTTAAAAAGTTATTATTTTCAGAAGGAAAAATAAATATGTTCATATCTTCAGGTGATAATTTTTCATCTTTACTCACTATTTTGTAAATAAAATGTTTTTCTTTTACGTTAATGAAAATTTTAAATAATATTCTTCCACATAAAAAAAAGTATTTTTCATTTATTTTTTCTTCAATATCAAATGTAATGTAATTATCAAAAAATCCATAGTACACTTTTTTATTTATGTTATTAGCAATTCTATGAATACATATAATTATGTTAGTAAATATTAAGTTATCATTTTCATCACTGTTGTTATTTTTTCTTAAATGTACTTCATCTTTTTCTTCTTTTTCACCAGTAATGTATTCATAAAAACTATTATTTGTGAAAATATCGTTGTTTATATCAAATATTATTTTATTATTAAATAGAAAGGAATAATTAAAACTCCTTTTATCAATAAAAGAACTAACAATGGAATTCATAGAATTGCTGTAAGAAACATCACATAAAATAGTAGAAATTTTCTTCTGTTCAAAAATTTTATTTTCAACCAAATATTTATTAATATTCAGGTAAAAATCTTGCTCTAATTTTTTTTTATTAAATATATATATTGAAGGAATATAAGGAATAATAAAGGATTGACAAGAAATACCATAATGAATTAAAAAATCTGCATGAACATGGTCAGCACTTACATAATCCTCACAACATTCATTTAATGTAGTATCACCCAAAACATATAAGTTAATAATATTTTTTGAATTATTTTCATCTTTTAAGGTAATTTGATTCTTTTCACATACACTGTTCATACATTTTTCTTTATCATCAATATTTGAATTAATAATTATGTTTTTATCTTTTAATTTATTCTGAATTATGTTCGATATATAAATAGAATCATTTAACATAGAATCAGGTAACTGAATAGCTATACTCTTAAAATTATAATTTAGAATAATTTTTGTTATTAATTCAATTTCATATTTTTCAATAATTTCATTTGGATTTATTTTCATTATTAATTGTATATTGATTTAAAATAAAAAAAAAAATTAAAGAAGTAAATTTATAAAAATTAATATAAAATTTAAAATAATAAATATTGAAAAAATCATACTTTTGTTATTAAAAAATAAATTTTGCTTGGAATAAATATTAAAATTATATTTTAATTACAAAATTTTTAAAATCATTTAAATAAAACATCATAAAAAAATATAGTTGTGTATATGACATGAACAAATAAATAAAAAATAGTTGATTCTCTTTATAATTAAAAAATTAAAAAATTAATAAATAACAAACTTTATCATTTATTATATCATGCATACTAAATTTTCTTTTTTTTTTTTTTTAATTAAAAATTAAATATGAAATTATTTGTATAAACAAATTTTTTAATTTTTTATGGATATACTTAAAATTTTTTATTTTTTAATTTTTTTTTTTTTTTTTTTTTTTTTAAATTTGCTGTTTGAAATATTCATAAATAGTTATAGCTGCAGAAACATGAACATTCAATGATCTGATTATTCCATGTCCTGGTATTTCTATGCAATGATGTAAAAACAAAAGAATAGAAGAAGGTATCCCTTCCTTTTCATCACCTAATATTAAAATAGATTTTTTTGGAAAAATAAAATTATTTAAACCTAGACTACAATTTGTTTGTTCTAAACCTATTATAGAATAATTTTTTTTTTTTTTTATTAAATATTTTATGATGTCACTCTTTTTTAATTGTTTTATATTCATCCATTTATTTGCAGTAGAAGAAATTTTTTGAAATTGATAATCCTTAATTATATTTACATTATCCAGAAATAATTTTTTAACATTAAAAATTTCGCAAGTTCTACATAATCCAGCTAGGTTTGGTACTTTGTCTATTAATGATGCTATAACAATTAAATCATTCTTTTTTTTTTTCTGATAACTACTTCTAAAATCATTAATTTCGACTATATTAGCTATAGGATCAAACTTCTTTTGATAATTGTTTTTATTTTTTTCAACAATATTTTCTAATTTTTCTAATTCTGAAATGTTATTTAATCTATTTGTTTGATCATTTTCTATATTTGTTATAGTATTATTTGTTTCTATGTTATTATCTTTTATTTTTATTTTTTCTTTTTCATATTTGTTATCCCTTTCAATTTGTTCCACATTTTTATCTTCCTGTTTTTTTATACTTAATTCATCCCTTATCTTATTTTCATAAATATCATTAAATATTTTTAATGATATATTTTTGTTCACATTATTTTTTCTAATATCTTCTTTTTCTTTTTCTAAATCTACATTGAACAATATGGAAGACATTTCTTGCTGTACTATTTTTTTTATGCTATCTATAAAAGTGTAAGATGTAACTAGTTCATTATTGTATAAAATATGAGTGAAAGTATTGGTGTTATTATGATTTAAATCTTCATCAAAATTATTAAATGAATAATTACAAGTTGGTAATAATATATTTATATCATCAAAATATTTTACGTGCCAATATTTAATTTGATCCTTCATTTTTTCCCTAATTCTTTTGCAATCTTTATTATTCTTGATATATGAGTAAATACATAAAAAGAACGGATTTAATAATATTTCTTTTTTCTTTTTTAGAAATTTATATAATATGAATTGTGATATACTTCTTATTACTGCTGAGTGTGAAGAGCATAAACAAATTATACGATATAATAATTTAATTAAAAATTTACATATATATTCAGAATAAAAATAATTATTTTTTTCACTAAATGAAATTTTATTTTTTATTTTTTTTCTATTACATATATCCAATTGATCAATTTTTATTTTTACATTACTGCTTATATTATTATTATTAGTTTTATCTTCTTTATAATTGTTTTTATCATTAAAATAATTATATATTTTTGAACTGTTATCATAATTTTCTTCATTATTATTGTTATTATTAGGTTCTCTATTATAATTATGATAAGTATTTTTTTTTTTTCTTAGTTGCCTACAATTTTCAATACATTTTACAATTTCTTTTTTGTCATTGTTTTTTTTTACAATTTCATTGAAAATATGTTTCATTTTCCTTACCTCAATTTTATTTTTTATTTTTTTTCTTATAGCTCTTCTATTATATTTTTTTGTGATTAAACATAAATTTGAAAAGGAATTAAACCTTAATTCTTTGAATGAATAATAACTATATTTTGTTTTTAGTAAAATATATGAACATACTATTAAAGAGCTTAACGTTAACTGCATATTTGCATTTTGGTCAGATAAATTTTTTATTATATATGGATATAATAATACAAAAGACGAGTTGCTAATTGAAGAATAAAATAATTCTAAGTATTGACGTGTGTTATTTAAATGGTCATAATGTAAAATTTTATCAGTATAATATATAATATTTTTTCTTTTCTTTTTTTTTAAATATTTAAAATATTTAGATAAACAACATAATGCCTGCAATCCCCTCATTTGAATATTATGTCCATTCGATGAAGGTAGAGGTGGAATACTTTCTTTTTCTTTATCTTCTTCTTTTTCTTTGTTTTTTACTTTCTTTTCCTCATTTTTATTTTTACTCATATATATATGTTTATTATCTATTCTTTTTAAGATTTGTAAAATTAAATATTCATAAATACATAAAACAAAATTTCTTTTTTTATAAAAACTGATTTTATTATTATTTTCACATTTTTTAAAATAAATATATTTTTTTTCCAATATATTAAATAAATTTATTAAAAATATTAAAGTCAATATTCTCAGAAAGACAGACGTATTGCATATTTCATATAGTGAAGAAGGAATAATTAATTCTTCATTATTTTGTAATTTATTCAAAAAATATGAACATATATTTTCATTAATGAAATTATATAAATGCACATTTCCTTTTTTTATTTTAAATGAGTTGTTTGTAAAACTTTTTTTATTATCCATTAAAATATATTCTTTATACATTAATATATCAACAATGACAGTGATAAATTTATAAATATATTCTTTATTGATATATATTACATCAGCATATTGAATTAAATTGTAAAAATATGACGTAATAAATGGTATTATAATACTTCTACTTAAAGATAATCTTGTTTTACCATCTTCTATGATTTTTTGAAAATAATTAAGTAATAAAAAATGTTCTTCCTCTTCGTCATCACTTGTTGGTTTCATTATAAATTTAATCTTTTCATTTTCTTCATTTTTTATTTTAATTTTATCTACATTACTGGCATTTGGATTTATATAATAACTCATTTCAAATTTAACCATTAAAGGATGAAATAAGGTAATAAAAATCAATTCTAACAAATGAGTTGGATATTTACATGTGCAACATCTGTCAACTAGTAAATCACTTTGTTTCAATAATAATTTTAAAATGGAAGTTTTTGTTTTTCTATCAAAATCATCACTAAAAATATTTGGAATAATATAATTTTTTATAATTAAATAAACATAAACTAATTCTTCTTTACATATTTCTATATCTTTTATTACTTTATAAGAGAAAGAAATAAGTTCATTTTTATTTAAAGAAAAAGCATTATAAAAAATACTATTGTATAAGTATTTATATTTATAATAATTAAATTTTTCATAATATTTATATAATATTTTTTTTTCAAATTTTAAATACTTATCACTGATAAATTTTTTTATTTCTAAATTTAGTATTTTCTGATTTAAAATTCCTAGATTTTCTATGTGAAAAAACCTACACATATTTGAAATAAAAGAAAAAATTAAAACTATTTTTAAATTATCTTCCTCTTCTAATATATTCAAATTTATTAAATAATTTTTGCATTCATCAAATAATTCTGTTATATCTTCATAAAAAAAATTACTCTTTTCTGTAAAATTTTTATGGATAACATTACATTTATTTTTATTCATTTTTTTTTTGTAATAATAATCACTATTATAATAATCTAAATTATCATGTAAAATATTTATTCTGTCTGTATTTATATATTCTAAAGTATCCACAAATAATAAAAGCTTGTCAAATAAGTTAACATTATTATTATTTAAATCATCAAATAATAGAAATTTTTTTAATTTCTTTATGTTATTTCTTATTATGCTCTCTATAGCATTTTTATTAAAGAATTTTACTAAATTATTTTTAAAAACATAAAAAATTAAATGAGTAATTAATTCATTCTCATCCTCCTCCTTTAGATGAATTAAATTATCATATAATAAATTCTCCATAAGTACTAAATGAAAAAATCTCTCATATCCATAAAAGTGCAAATAATTATTGTAAGATACTACTTTATTTAAATGATCAATAAAAATATTTAATAATTTATTTTCCTTGTTTTCAATAAAAATAAAATCTCTTATTTCTTTACCATTTAGTTCATTTTTTTCTTGAATGAAAAATTTAGTATTTAAATTTAATAAAAATTCAAAATACTCCAAATTTTCCAAAAAAAAATTATCTTCAAATAAATCTAAAAAAATACAATAGTTTTGCACTGTTGTAAATAAATTTAAATGGTAGTTTAATTTTATTACTATTTGTATTATCAAAATTAAAACATCATTTCTTCTACTTATTGAAATATTTTTTATATTTTTTATAATATTAATAATAATTTCATGAATATTAATATTCATTTCATTAAATTTTAAAATATCTTTTTTTTTTTTAGTATTATAACTATATTTGAATGCTTTGGAATCAAAACTAATATTTCTCCTTTCTAAAATATGTATAGATTCAATTAAACCTTCTAAAATTATTCTAATATTTATAAAAGAAAAATTTATTTTTTCTAAAGAAAATATAAACTTTTTAATATAATATAAGGAATTATTTTTTACTATTTTTGAAATTATGAAATTTTTTACTCGATGTTCATAATAAAGTAAATCTCCTTTTGTAAATAAAGATGGTTTTACAATATAAATAAAAAAAATATGAAATAAAAATATATCATTCATACTATTTAAAAAAACATTAATATCTATATTTTCATTTAATGTATTTCTATCTTCTTGAATATCTTTATATATACCTAGTTCTTTATTTTCGTAACTAATTAATTCACAAAGAGAAAAACGAGTAACTGTATTATTTTTGTGAATTATTAATAACAAAATTAAATATTCAACTAATCGAAGTACTATATATTCAGAATATTTACCAAAATTCGTTTGACAAATTTTTTTGTCATTATTTAGGAATTCTATATTACTTTTTGACCAATATGACTTATTTTTAACACAACATTTAAAAATAAAATAGTCAAATTCGTCATAAAAAATAAATTTGTTTTCAATATGTATATTTATCTGTCTATCTTTCTCCTTCTCACTTAGTACTTTTGATTTTTTTAGTTTCCTATTATTTTTTTCTTTCAAATAATAATCATATATTTTTTCATATTTTTTTTTTATATTATTAACAATATTTAAAAGGCTAATCATTTTATGCCAATTCGTTTTTAAAAGATGAACAGAAAAGTTTTGAATACATCTCAATATACATTCATACAGCTGCCAAGCTTCTAATAAAATAGAAATTTCTTTTTTATAATTTATTTTTTCACATATGTTTATAATTGTATTAAAAATATAAATAATTTTTTTTAAAATACCCTCATTTGTGTATGCTTCATTAAATAATAATAAATGATATCTTACATCACCAATGAAACCATTTTTTATAAAATCCTCGTTATAAATATATTCAATATACAAAATTATGAAATTATAAAAATCATTTAATAAATAATCATCTATTTTATCATTATTAAAGAAATAGTTTAAACAAGTCTCATAGTAAATTTCAAAAAGAAAATCATTCTTTTCCTCTTTTATATTTGTATTTTGTTTCACATTATTTTCATTTTTGCAAAAAAATAAACTGCTTTCAATACTTACATTTCTAAACATAAAAAACATCCTTTTAATAATCTTCAAACATATATCTTCAAATTCATTTTTACTTAAAATATATTTTTTAACTACAAAGCAAAAATCTTTAATTAATATATTTCGTACTTCTTTATCGTTAATAAAAAAAAGATGAAGTAAAATATCATTCACTACATTTTTTATTTCAGTGTTATTCGAAATGTTATTAATATTTTCATTGTCATTATTACAATTATTATTAATAAATTCAGAATTCTCTGAACTATGATTTTTTATTTCTTTATTACTTTCTACTACTAAAATAAACAAATTAATTAAATCTTTAATATTTAAATCAAAATTGTTTAAAAAATTCTGATAAGATAATGATAATAAAAAATCATTTTTTTTTAAATTTTCATCTTTATATTTTATATAATTACTACCGTTCATAATTTCAATAGGACTGTTTTTTTCAACGTCATTTATTTCATTAGTAGAATTATAAAAAAAGGAATTAGGAGTATTTAATTCTTTTTCTTTATAACAAAAATGTTTTTTATTATCTTCTTTCAAATTATCTTCTATTTTTATTTTTATATGATTTAATAAAAACAGAAGAACACAAAAGCTATTGTTTCCCTTTTCGATTTGAAACAAAAAATTACTTAAAAGATTGAACAAAATAGAAGAATCATTTAATTTTAATTTTATTAAACTAAATAACCAAGAAAAATCTAAATTAACAAAATTATTGTTCCAGTAATTCTTAAATATACAATCTAAAAAAAGAATCATAACTTTTATTTGTTCAAATGATTTATCATTTTTTTTTCTCTGTTTTATTTTATTTGACACATAATTATTAATATGTATTGCTAATTCATATTTATTTATTTTGTCAATTAATTTTAATGTAATAGTAGAAAATATATTTTTAATAATATCCTCATCAAACTCTTTTTTTATACTTTTTGAAAAATTGGTTAGTAAAATTAAAATATTTTCAGCATTTTCATTCATTCTTTATACAATTTCAATAACTACTCAGATGTTATATAATATTATTAACAATAAATAAATTAGTAAATGTTTTTTTTACTTTTTATAAAATAATTAAATTTTTTACTTTATTCATAATATATTATAAGTTCTTTTATTAATTAATTCTTTCTTTTTATTCATAAAGTAAAATTTTAAAATATTATAATATTATAATATATGATTTTCATGATTTTTTTTTTTAAATTAATTTTAACGGAATATTTTTTTTTTTTTTTTTTTTTTTTTTTTTTTTTTTTTTTATAATAAAACTGTATTAAACTTTAGTTTTATTAAATCAATGATTAGCTATATAAATTAATGATTTCAAAATTTCTACTTTTCTTAAAAATTTAAATTTTCTATTATGAAATTTTCGTATTAATATATGAAAAAAAATAATAATAAACTAGAAATTTATGTATTCTTTTATTCTATTTCAAAAATTTAAAAGATATATAAAATTATATAATTATAGGTTAGTTCTAATTTAATTTTCATGAAATTACTTTTTGAAGGAAATAAAATATTCAATGAAATATCTATAAAGTTGTCATTTTTTTTTTTTTTTTTTTTTTAATTTATTTTCTATGTTTCCATTACATAATTTTTCATTTCTATATTTATTTATAAAATTTTTTTTTTTATCTCTTAAAATTATTTTTAAAATTATTAATCATATTTCTTTAATATCCTACATGAAAAACAATTAAAGTTTATTCTTACTAAAAACAATTATTGCTTTCTTTTTCTATAGAAAAAAAAAAACTAAAAATTAAAAGTGAAATTTCTTTTTTTTTTTTTTTTTTAAAGATATATGAATACTTAAATATCTATATAATTATGATAAATTATTTTATTTAAAAATTTAATAAACTTATTTTTTCTTGTATCTGTTTCATTTATTTATTAAATTTTTATCTAGTTCTCTCCTATATGCTACTTAAAAAATACTTTTCATACGTAACTATTTTTTAAAAAAAAAAACTAAAATATAGACTTTTAATTCTTAATAAAAGGCCATACAAAAAAGTACAAATTTCCAATTTATAAATATTTTACATTATTAAAAATAAATATGATTACTTTTACTAAAATTTCCAAATAAACTTTTACGAAGAGATTTCATTATTTTTAAAAATAAAACTATCAGAATTTTTCTTTTTCTTTCTTTTATTTTGAGACTTATAATAGTATTTCATAAAAAAAAAAATAATATAGGATACTTATAATAGTTTTTATATTCAACAAATTATTGTGTCTATATTAATATTTTTCTCAAAATAAGTGTATATACCATTTATGTGTTATTTTGTTACATTTTTTTTTTTTTTTTTTTTTAAATAACCTTAGTTATAAATAAAAAAAAAAAAATTACCCTTAATGAAAATGTCACATATTTTATTAATTTTTTTTTATAAAGAATTGTATATTTAAAAGAATATAATTTAGATTAAAATATTTTGTCATTTTTTTTTTTTTTTTTTTTTTATTTTATATACTCCAAAAGGTTTCAAAATATAATTTGTTTAATTATTTTATTTTACTTTTTTATTTTTTATTTTATTTTTTTTTTTTTTTTTTTTGTTACTAAAAGCTTAATCTCTTTTTACAGAAATATGTTCCAAAATTTTCTTTTTTTTATTTTATTTTTAATAATTAAAGAAGGTATAACTAGATAAAAGAAAAAAAAAAGTAGAAAGTATATCTTAAATTATATATATATATATAATAATATGTATAAAAGTTTATAGACAATATACATTTTTTTAAATTTTAGCTATTTCTCAAAAAAATTCCACATGCCTCCGAGATTATTCGTATAAAATTTATATCTTTTAAATCTATTTATCTATCTATCTATCTGTCTATCTATCTATCTATTTATCTCTCTCTCTCTCTCTCTATATATATATATATATATATAAATATATATATAAATATATAAATATAATTTAAATGCATAAGTAATTTATCATATAAATATATACATATGTTTCATTATATAAATATCAAATAATTATTGTGGTCAGAAATATTTCATTAGTTGTATAAAAATAAAAATTAATTTTTTTTTTTTTTTTTTGGAATAGACAAAATTGTGCAGAAGGTAATATAAATAAAAATCAAATAAAAATCAAATAAAAATTTATAAAAAAAAAAAAATACAAAAATGTTTTAAAAAGAATTAACTAATTTTTATATAATCAAATATTTTCTTATTTTCCTTTTTTTTTATTTTAATTCCATATTATACAACTCATAAAAATAAATAAAATCTGTATAAATTATATCTTTAATTTTTTTTTTTATTTTATTTTATTTTTTTTTTTTTTATTGAAAAAAGGATGGTCAAAATTAAGTAAATCAAAAGAGTGTGTAGCTCCTTTATCTTATAGAGGTCCATGCCCCCGGTTTTTACAAATTGAACATGAAACCAAAAAAAAAAAAGAGTTGGAAAAATTATGTAACATTTATTGGTTAATATATATATATATATATATATATACATGTTGTTTATATTTATTATAGATTATTTTTATTTTATTATTATTTTAATTTGTTTACACTTTATTTGAAAGGCCTTGTTTAACTTATTGTGAAAAAAATTATTCTTCTGAATGCCCCGAAAAATGGGTTCAAGGAGATGATAAAAATTGTTACCCACTAGCAACTTACGAAGGTCAGAAAAAAAAAAAAAAAAAAATAAATAATCATTTAAAACTTTGTCAAATATTATATTTCCTTTAAATAGGAACATGTTTATTTTCATACGATTTTTCAAATATGACTGATGAACAGAAAGAAATTTGGAGTAACAAATGTGAAACTATGTGGCCATGCAAAGTAAAAAAAAAAAATATATATATATATATATATCTATTTTAATAAATATCTTAATATGTGCATATATATATTTTTGATATAAATTTCAAGGAAAAATGTAAAAAAGATTATTCTAAACTTTGTCCTCAAGTATATTTAAAAAAATTAAATATAAATATAATAAAAAAGAATATAAAAATGATAATTATAAAAAATGTTATTTTAAAATTCTTTTATTATAATTTTCTTTCTAGAAATGGATTAAAGATGGTAACTTTTATTAAAATAAGATTTTAATAAATATATATGTATGTATTAACTACATTTTTATTCTCTCTCTGAATTTTAGATAATGATCTATGTTCTGCCCCTATAAATTATAATGGACCATGTTTATCTAGAGCATCATTAGTTACCCTTGATAAAGATATGAAAGTTATATATTCATAAATATACATATATATATATATATTTGTGAATTAAGATAAAAAAAAAAAAAAATAATAAAATCTCTTCATATATGTAATTTTATAAAAATATTCTTTTTCTAAGGTTGCATTTGAAAAATTATGTAAATTAGATTATCCTTGCTTAAAAGAATGTAAAATAGACATGGATGATGTAATAAACTTAATGAAAAAAAAAAGATCATTTTTTTTTTTTTTTTTTTTTTTTTTTTTTTTTTAATAATATTATTTATCTTTTTCCATTTGATAAATTTTTATTTTTTTAAAAAGCCTTGTCCTCAAAATTGGATACTAAAATCAAATGAATCAGGGACGTCCATTAGTTGCCTACCCCCAGATGAATATAAAGGAATATGTGATGAAAATACAAAATTTATTGGTATATTTTTTTAATAGGAATTAGTTATAATATAATATATATATATATACATATATATATGTTTATCATCCTCATTTTTGTTTTTAAAGGTCTAAATTTAGAATTAAAAGAAAGTATAGAATATGAATGTGACATAAAATGGCCATGTGCTGAAGGTAATATGAATATATTATTATTTAAAAGAATATATATTAAAATATGAAAAATTCAAATGTAAATATATATTTAATTATCTATTTAAAATTTTGTTGGAAATAATAATTTTTCTTTTTATTTTTCTATACAAAGTTATTTTTTTGTTATTTTTTTAATTAATTGTTTATAGAAATTCCTGATTTAATTAATTATGAAGAATTGTGTCCAGAAAATTGGATACAGAGTGAAAATGTGATAAAAAAAAAAAAAAAAAAAAAAAATTTTATATATATATTTATGTACCGTTGTAATATGAAATCTCTAAAAAAACATTTAGATTAAACACATAATAGATACTTAAATTTCCATTTTTGTTTTTATTTTTTATTCTCATTGAATCTGTTAAACTTATAAAAATTTAGCAAAATACATTGATTTAAAACATTCATAAGATATACAATTTTTATGTATTTTTAGTATTGTGTTGCTCCTCAAAATTATATGGGACCATGTTCAAAAAAAAAATTATTCAAATCATTTAGAAAAGAAATTAAGAAGGCATATGCAGAAGAATGCAATAGTAATTTATTTATTTTTTTTTTTTATTTTTAAATAAAACCTATTAAATTTTTTTTACTATATAGAATTACATTATTAATTTAATTACTTTTTTCATATTTTTTTTTTTTTTTTCTAGTTAAATGGCCACTATTCAAAAATAGTAAAGAAAATTTTCCAAAAATTTCAGGTATATATATATATATATATAAATATATATATAAATATGTTTATATAAATATGTTTATATAAATATGTTTATATAAATATGTTTATATAAATATAAATTATTAGCTTTAAGAAAAGGAAGATATAAATTTGGTATAGTAGAACCAATTACAGGAGAAATTCTTTCTAAAATTAAGAAATGAAAAAAAAAAAAAAAAAAAAAAATTTGTTGTATGCTATTATACCTTTAAATAAAATTATATATAAATTTTTTACTATTTTTTAATAATCATGAATTTTGTTTCAATAATCTATATAAATTAACATTTTTCGTGATTATATCATTACTACTTTATTTTATTTTGTCTTATTTTTTTTTTTTTTTATTGAAAATATCTATATGGATATCATTCATTTAAACCTAATTGTTACTTATTAAAATTATGAGAACCTTTTAATTTTTAGTTGTAAGAAAAAAAAAAAATAAAATAAATAAAACAAATATATAATATACTTAAAAAAAACATTAAAGATATTTATTGAACTATTTTTAGTTCATAAAATAAATGAAAAAAATAATTTTCGTATTTAATATGTAAAGATATCTTTGTGTGTGCTTTTTTTTTTTTTTTTTTTATGATCATTAAAAAATTTTCAAGAAATTTTATTATAGATACTTGAAAAGATTTATTTTATATATTTATTATAATACACACAAGCATTATAATAAAAATATATTAAAAATTAGTAAAATTTTATTATATAAATAATAACAAAGAGAAAAAAAAATATATATATATATATAAATCTAAATTTAAATAATTATTCTGCATAAATTATATTTAATAAAAAAAAATATATATATATATATATGTGTACTCCAAAAATATATAAAATAATTATTTTGTAGAATTAAAAATTATATAAAGATGAAAGTCTAAAAGAAAAAATTCCTGAAAAAAAATTTATTTTTTATAAAAAATATAATTTTTAATTATTCCTCTTAAACTAACAAGTTTTTATTAAAATTTTAATTAAAAGATAAATTAAAATACTATATATTTTTAGCAACATTTTTTTTTTTTTTTTTTTTTTTTTTTCTTGTCTCAATTTTCTCCATTAGAATCTATAAAATTATACTTTATTTTTTAGAAAAAAAAAAAATATATATATATATATATATATAATATATCGCGCACAAAAAAATAAGTAGAACTATTTTATTTTTAATCGATTAAAGATGATCTAAAAATATGACATATAAAATTGATAAAAATTTGGAGAAATTTAAATATTAACATTATATGTTCTTAAAAGACATCAAGGATTATTTGGTTCTCATATAGGATTATACTTAGAAGAAATTATTTTCAAAAATAAATAATAGATAAAAAATTATAGAGAAATAAAAAAAAAAAAAAATAGTAGAATTAATCCTATGGAAAAAAAAGAAAAAAAAAAAAAAAAAAACAATTTAGTTCTTAAATAATATGCAAAATAACAATACAGCATATTTTTAATTCTAAGAATTTTAAGTCTTCTCCTAAATACATATTAAATGCATATAAATATTAATAATTTTCTTTTATTTGTCGTCTTAATTTTTTTATTTTAAATGTTATTTGTGAGTTTTTTTTTTTTTTTTAGTCAAAAGTACATTCGATTTATTAAATTTTTGCACATAGATTTTTGCATAAAAATAAAAAATAGAAAAAATTTCTAATTAAATAAATCATTTCAATTAATATATATAAATATACATATGTATATATATATATGTATATATATATATATATATATATATATATATATATATTATAATTTTTTTTATGAAAGTTAGTAAGAGAGTAATATATTAATTAAAGTATTTCTATCATTACTTTAAAAGGACAAAAAAAAAAAAAAAAGAGAATTATGGAAAATAATAAAAAAATTTATATATGCATGCGTATATATAAAAATATTTAATAGTTTATCTTATTATAATAAGAGACAAAACATTTAAATTATGTATAATATATATATATATAAATATATATATGTATATATATATATATATATATATATATATACCTTTTATAAAATGGCACAAGTGAATACATTTGTTTCCTAAAATTTCCCTAGATTTAAGAAAAAGACTATTTCTTTTTTTTCTGTGTTTTTATTTATTATTTTTTTTTTTTTTAATGCAAATTTTTCTTAATATATATATATATATATATAAGAATTATCAGTTTTCTCTTTTTTTAAGTAGAATTTTTAGTATTTTTTTTTTTTTTAATTTTAACTATATACTAAGAGATGAATAATTATTTTGAAAATTTTGATGAACTGTTAAAAGAATTAGATTTAAAAAATTATGTTACCTTTGTAAAAAAATGTTTTAAAAACGGAATTAAAAAGAATGAAGAAACTATCTGTGCTCAAGATTTACGAAATTTAGCTAAATGTTTACCAAGAGTATCCGGTGTTTGGTATGATTTGCATAAAAATAGTTGGGAAGCTAGATGGTCAGAAGGAACAAAATCTGCTAGAAAATATTATTCTGTTCAGAAATTCGGATTTCATGAAGCAAGAAAGTTAGCTATAAAAACTATAAAGACAAAAGAAATTAATTATTTATATAATAGTATAAATGAAGATTTTAGTAAACCATTAAAATGGAATTTAAATAATGAATTTTTAGAAATGAATCATGATCCAACTGTAAATTTAAAAAAAAAATGTAGAGCAAAAAATTGTAAAATAAAAGTAAAAAAAGAAAATAATAATATTAACAAAAAAATGAAAAACGAAAAGAAAAATAATCAAACAAAAATCACTAGAGAAAATAACCTTCTAACTACCAACTTTAAAAAATATGAAAATTGTGAAATAAAAAGTAAAATTAATGTTAATATTGAAACAAAAAATGTAAAACATACTGAAAAGAGAATTAATAATAAAATTATACTTAAGAATGTAGAAAATATTAGAAATAATTTTAATAATATAAGTGAAATTATCAAGCATAATAAAAATAACTCTTCAAAAGAATCAAACATACGTTCAAGTAATAATTCTGAAGAAACTAGTAATATTAATCATATAATTATAAAAGATGTAAATGATCATGAGAATCAAAATGACATCTTAAAATATTCAAGTGTACATATAAATGAAAAAAAATTGCTAAATAAAAATAAAAGTGATAATATCAATGAGAAAAATCAAATTCAATCAAAGGAAAATATATGTAATAAAAAAAAATTTAATAATGTCATAAATAATACTATAATTAACTCTAATAAAATTAATAATACTGTTATGAACATTGATAATAGTTCTACTTTTAATGGTAACTATTTAAATGAAATAAAAAATGATAGAAATGTTGTAAAAGATAAAAATGTAATTAATAACACGGCTAATCATTACTATAAAAATGATAAAATGTGTAATGCATATAATGAAAATAATAGTAGCAATGATAATTCTTGCAATATAAAGAAAAGTTTTAATAAAGAAAATAATAAAACAAATTTAATAAAATTTCCTTGTGAAAAAATTTTAGGTTATATATTATATCACAATAAACCTTTTTCTAAAAATAACTTTTATAATAAGCAAATAGATTTATTGAAAATTAACATAAAACAAAAAAATAATCCTATATATAAAGAAAATGCTTCAATTAATGATGGTAAAACAAGCAATGACGTCGATATAACAAAAAAAATGAATTCCAATGATAAAGATAATTGCATTAATAATAATTCCATTTGTACAAATAAGTTAAAAAATGATAGCTGTAACTTTTGCTTACATAAAAATAGTGAAGTAAATAAAAATGATGAATACAATTATTATGATAATTTTAAGAATACTCAGTTTAGAAAAAAAATGGGAAATAATTCTTATTTACTAAATGATACCCATTATAAAGGAATCTGTAATAATAACAATGATCATGATAACAACCATATTATTTTTAAAAGTGAAACTTTCTCATCTAACCAAAGTATTCCTTGCAATACTAGTAAAACATTAAATAACATTTCAAAAAAGAATATTTACAAAGAAGATACATTAAAGGAAAACAGTATTTATAGTTCTTATAATAATATATGTAATAAAAAAGATGCAGATATTTGTATTGAAAAAAAAGAAAACAATGAAAGTTGTATAAATTTAAATTTAAAAGACTCTGTAAATTCTGATACTTTGAGCATATTTAAAAATGCAATAAATTTACTTCTGAAGGATCTTAAATATAAATGTGTTCCACATTTTGATAAACAATTTTTAAACATAGTAGAAATTATTGATAATCATTTAAGTTATGTAAATTCTATTTTTAATGAAAATTTTTTAATCACATATGTACATTTATTTGATATTTGTGTATCTAACAATATATTACCTAGTCAAATGGATCAAAAGATACAAAAAGTTTTTTGTAATGCTTTGATAGCTTTTCATATTTTATTATTCAATTTTCAAAAAGAAAAAAAAATTAATTAAGAAGACATTTTATTAATGTTAAAACTTTTTATAAATAAAAAAAAAAAAAAAAAAAAAATTCTATTCAGTAAATAATTTTATTTATATATAAATATATATTTTTCTTAAATTAAGCATAATATTTTATATTAATAAAACAATTTGACTATTTATTTTTATTATTATTTCTAATATATTACAAAAAAAAAAAAAAAAAAAAAAAAAGGTAATGTTTTTTATATTAAATTTTTATTAATTTTAGACATACACAAAAAATTATTTAAAAGAATAAGAAAAAATTCTAAAAAAAAACTTTGTTCAATCTTAAAATTAAAAAATATAAATTTAAGTATATAATAATAATAATAATAGAAAAAAAAAAAAAAAAATATACTATTAAACTAATATATGAATTATATATATTATAACTATTATTCATATGTTTTAGAATATTATGTAATACATTATTTAGTTATATATTAATAAAATAATCATAGTTTTGTATTTATTTATATATATATATAGAAAAATATATATATACATTAATTATATAATATCTTATATTCTACAAAATACTTAAACAAATTAATGAAATACAAAATTTTCCATAATATAAAAAATATATTAAATATCATACAAATACATTGAATATTTTCCAAAAAATCTAATGTAATACACATAAAATAATCATTAAACCATATAATGTCGTAAATGAAAGATATTATTAGAAGAATGAATATATGCTTATATTGTTTTTCATTTTTAAAAAAATTATTGCTATGGAAAATATTAGTATAATTCTTTTTTTTTTTTTTTCTTTTTTTTTTTATTAATAATAAATTTTGATGTATATTCCTTTTTTTACTTTTTAAATTGAACAAGATATTTTTCAAATTGTAGAATGCGGAAATTGATAAATTTATATGATCAATAAATAATGGCCTTTGAAAACTTGATAATGCAGATAATAATATTCCAATATATAAAAAAATAGTTAAATTATAATCACATAAATACTTATTATCAAATATATTTTTTAAATAAAAATAAAAGTATGAAAAATAAATATTAGGATCTTTTAAATTTGTGGTTATATCATTATCAGAACTAATAAAATGTAATTGATATTTTAAAACTTCCTTTTCATAATTTATAATACGTTCTATTTGTTTATTTTTTATACATTCATATTCTTTTAATATATCATCATATAATTTTTTTCTGCTGAATATATATTGGAATGTAGCATTTATTTCTGATAATAATAAATGATGTACTTTTATTTTCATTGAATGTTTTCTTTGATCACATAAAAAAATCAATGGTAATTTAATTTTTATATTATATTTTTCTTTTTTCCTTATATTTTTCTTTGATATATTTATATACATATATTCAATCTTGTCTTTAATTAAAAATTCCATTTTTTTATTGAAAAAAATCTTCTTATTTTTTTTTCCTGATACAAGAAATTTTATATCATCGTATTTTTCTAAAACACGAAACATAATTCTATAATAAATAATTTCTTCTGGTATATATTTTTCAATAAGTTCTATACTTTTAATATTAATTTTTAATATTCCTTTTTCCTCATATATGTACCTTTTATTTTCATAAAAATTAAAACTCTTTTTAAAATGTTCTATTCTTATGGAATAATTTTTCATTTCATTGTATTGTAGAATGCATAATTCTAATAATTTTTTTTTCTCATCATAAAAAATATTAAAAAAATCTGTTATTTTTATATATTTAATCCTCTCCTTTTTTGTATCATCTTTCTTTACTTTTTTTATTATATCATCTATTATTTTTTTATCATAATTACTATGTATTCTTTTTAGGCCGTCAATTAAATGTTTAATTTTAATTTTATCTCTCTTTATTTTATAATTATTTTTAAAATAATTTATTATTGAATATTTACTTTTATTATAATTTTCATTTTCATTAAAAAGAATACAGTACATTTTTATATTTTGTTTTATATTATTTTTTTCTAGTTAGATATCCATACTTTCCTCTAATAAAAATAATAAAAAAGAAAATTAACTAATTTTTACATCATATATGTCAACCAAAATAATTTGTTTAGAAATGATACGAATGTATTATACATATATGATATAATAAACAATATTCTAAAATATATTAGTACATATTATGAACAAATATTATGACAATAAAATAGGATCAAACAATCAAAAATAATATTAATAAATAATTTTATTAAATTATTCTTATAACATATGCATAAACTAAATTGCAATACTTACAATAAAAAAAAAAAAAAAATTAAATAAATTATAGTAATTGTAAAATTTCATTTCATATGATAAAACTTATATACAACATACATATTATTAAATACATAATAGCAAAATATATGTATTATTTATATTATTTCTGTTCTTTTTATTATTCATATGATAGCAACATAAAAAAGTTTAATATTTTTACTTATATTAAAAACAAAAAGTTAAGATTATTAAAAGCTATAGAGGTGTTTAATATGTATCAAGTAATACATCATAATAAAAGGATATTAAAATAAAAAATTAAAAAAAAAAATTACATAAAAAACTGACAACTGAAAAAAAAATATATATATATATATATGTACATAAATGTATGTCGTATTTTTTTCAATATAAAAAAATAAAAATAAAATTAATTTTAAATATTTTTGTTAATATATATATATAAATAAATAAGAAAAAGAAGAAAACATTGTGTTTCAAATTTCATTCTGACATTTTTTTTTTTATTTTTTTTTTTTCTAGTTATATATATATATATATAATTCCCTACTACGTTTTATAAAATATAAGTATTTATTTATATTTAAGGAATGAAGTTTTTTTTTTTTTTTTTATTTATATGTGTGTGTGGTATCCAATTCTTCAATTTTTTCTAAAAAATCTAGCTATTTGCATATAATTATTGATGAATATTCATACGATAAAAAAAAAAAAAAAAAGAAATTGTTAATAATTTTATTAAAAACTTTATGTACTACTTTGTGTTACTTGTTCATTATTTTTTTTCATTTCTTTTAACCAATGTAATCTTCTTTCAACTTTGGAAGGTTTTCCAGAAAATACTATTCTTTTTGGAATTCTATTAAAATTTTCATCATCTGGATTATATTCTGAATATACTATATCATGCGTATTTTTTTTTAATAACAAACATCTTCCACCATGTTTTATAATTTCTCTAGCTGCGTTAACTGTAAATGCGTGTGCTTTAACAAGAACATTTTTTGCATAAAATTCGAAATCATATCCATTTTTCATTTTAAATTTGTTTAGATTACAACCAACGACTTTTATTGGATGTCTTCTTTTATATTTTCCTATTCTTAATCCCAATTTGTCTATAACATTCCAATCAATTTCAAGATATTTTTTTTCTCCACTTCTGCTATAAGCTGAATTGATTAAATTCAATGGGATTAATTCATAATCATATTTATTAAACCGCCTTCCTGGACCAAGAGGTGCAGAAACAAATTTTGGTAATTTTCTATATAAAGGTGTTTGTCCTCCTTCAAAACCAATTGGAATAGAACCACCACTTCTACTTTTTTGCCCTTTCATTCCTCTTCCTGAAGATCCTCCTCTTTTACTTCCTACACCTCTTCCTTTTCTCCTTTTTTTTTTTTCACCTAAAGAAGGTAAATTAAATGGTGTAAAAAAATATTCATTTTTTTCTCTATTCCCACCAACTACTGTTGATTCCCAATATACATCAGCTTTAATTTTCATATCATTTATCAATGGATAAATAGCGTTAGGCCAATCCATTTGAGTCAAATCCCATACTAATGGAGTTTTTGTTTTTTCATAAAAATCGTCCATTTCCTTTTTTATTCCTAATTTGATAGCTTCTTCCTGATACATCAAATCTATTTCATCCAATTTTTTTTGAATTTTTTCCCTTAATTTCACTAAAAGATCATTTTTGTCATCAAATATTAAATGTTTATTTTTTTCTATTTTTTCTATTTCCTTTATTATGGGTTCTATTGCTTCCTCCTTTTTTTTCATTACTTTTTGTAAAAACTCTCGCTGTTCTTCATTAAAAGGAGATTTATATGTTCCGTTCTTTAAATCATCTTCCAATTTTTTAAATTGATTTTTTCTTAATTCTAATTTTCTTCTTATCAATTCTTTGTATTTCAAATCAACCATTTTTTTTTCTTCTTTTAACTCTTTAAACATAGTATTTGCTCTTCCTATTTTAAAACTTCCATCTAACATGGTACCGAAAATATTTTTTAATTCGTTTTTTTCATTATCATCTTTAATATTGGTTTTCCTTTTTTTTTCTTCTTCTAAGTTGAAATTTATATTAAAATGCCTTTTGACTTTCCCTAACAAACTATTGATTGTGGCTATGGTGTTGTATTTTTCTTCAACTTCTTCCTCCTTAAACATATTTAAGTAATGCTTTTTTTTTGTAAAAACATTTTTATATTTTTCCTTTGGTACATTTTTATTAATTAAATTGGAATACTTTACTTTATTTTCAATTCTAATATATCCCCTTACAAGTAATGAACAAAATAAAAGTAAACATAAATATCTCATTTTATTATTATCATTTTAATATTCATTTTGTGTTATTTTTATTCTCTTATTTTTCTATTTATTTTTTAATAATATATTATTTCGAAATATTTATATATATTTATTTATTCAATAACATTTTATTCCCAAATAAATATATATTATTTTATTACTATATAAGTATGTTTTTTGTTTTTTTAAATACATTCAAAACTATTTAATTTTCATTTATCATTTTTTTTTTTTTTTTTATATATATAAAAAAAAACAAAAATTATTCCTTAAATATAATAAAAAAAAAATTATTTTTATTATATATATTTTAATTAATAAATATTTCAAATAATAATAAACTTCATTGAAATAAAAGATTGAGTCTTTATTCTATCTTTTTTAATTCTTTTTAGCATACTGTTACTTCTCTTAATAAGAAATTTGTTAATATATGAACAAAATTAAAAAACAAATATAAATTTAAAATATTATTTAATTAGAAAATATTAAAACATATCTATTAAAGGTTTCGACAATTTAAAATAAAAAATCATTATTTATATTTAGCATTAAAATAAAAATTATATTTTTATATTTTACTAGTATTTATATTATTGTAAATTTTTTTGTAAAAAATAATATATTTTATAATAATTCAAATTATTCTTAAAGAATGCTTTCTATTTTTATCACAAACGTATTTTTCTATTTTTATTTTTTAATCATTTTCTTTTTTTTATTTAAACTTACACTATAATATATATTATTGAGATAATTATATTATATATATAATCATTTTCTTTTTTTTTTTATAGTAGACATTTAATTTGATTATTTTAAAATATTATTTTTGTTTTCATTTTTATTTTTATTTTTTTTTTTTTTTTTTTACACTTTTATGCTTCATATTTACAAATAAAATGAATGATTCTTCTAAAAAAGAAATTATTTCTCTACCTCAGAGAAATAGAAGAAAAATTAACAAAAGTTTCATTAGTGAAAGTGAAGAAGAAGAAGATTATGTGGAAAAAAATATATCTAATAATAAAGAAAAATTATGTGAAAACAATTTCAAAAAAACATATAAATATGAATATCTTGATCACACAGCAGATGTTATTTTACATAGTTATGGCAATAATTTAACGGAGTGTTTTGAATCAATATGCATTTCAATGTTTAATTATATGTGCAATTTAAACAATGTAAAATCAAAAATAAGAAGAAATATAATTGTAAAAGGGGATAATTTGGATGATCTTCTTTTTAATTTCTTAACAGAATTTCATTTCTTATATGGAAATGAATATTTTATATGTAACCATATTGATATTGTAAAATTTGATAAACAAAATTTTTTAATCGAAGCCATTGGATATGGTGATTTTTTTAATTCTTCTAAACATGAATGTGGAACAGAAATTAAAGCTATAACTAAACATGAATTAAAAATAATTTCAAATAATGAAAATTGTGAAATTTTTGTTTTAGTGGATATTTAGACGGAAATATGTAATTCATTAAAAGGGAAATTTTATTACTAAAGATATTTCTATTATAAATAATAAAATGGGATCAAGAAAAAAACAAAAAATTTAATATATAGATGAAAATAATTTTTAAAAACGTTCAAATTAACAATTTTTATTGTACGATGGTGTAGTTTAGGTAAATAGTTACATATGCTTAATATATTTCACAAAATTCTTTTAAATATTTATTAAAGTTTTTAATATATGTTTTGCTTATATCATTTTATTTTTTGTATTTTCATAAAGTAAATATTTTCATAACTTATTAAATAATATAATGTTTAAAAATACTTATATTTTCATATTAATTTTAATGCATTTAACTTCATTTATATTATTCATAAATCAAAATTAAGCATATATGTGTTTTTTTTTTTTTTTTAAAATATGTATATATATATATATATATATTTTTATATACTTTTTACAGTAAAAAAATTAAATAAATTAAATAATAATTTTTACTATTTTATAGATTATATTACTTATATATATGAAGCTCATGCATAAAAATATTAACTTTTAATTTTTTTTTTTTTTTGTTTTTTATATTTTTATTTTTCTTTATTTATATGAAGGGTATCTAATAGGAAATGCAACTATAAAATAAATTAAAAATTCATATTCCTTTTGAAGTATATTTTTGAAATTTTAAAATATGCAAAGTTAAAAAAAAAACAAAATAAATAAATAAACAATAAAATAAAGATTTCATTTTTTTATCCTTATATTCTTAATAAATTTAATTGTTATAATTTCTTTGTTATATCTTCTTTTCAATCGTAGAAATTTCAATGAAGTGTCTAATTCTCATTTAATTTTTTAAAGAGTTTTAAACATAACAAATGTAAATCTTAAAATATTTATTGTAATATTTCAAATATATAAAAAAAAAACAAATAATATTTATATTATTTAAAATTGTCTCTATTTTAAATTCAAAGGTGTTTTCCTCTTCATATTTCAAAATTTTCAATATTAATGAAGTAGTGAGAACTTACCTATATATACAAATTTATTTTCATTAATCATTATTTTTATTACTATATATTTTTAATAATCCTTTATTATTATATATTTTAATATATTTTATTTTTAATCCTATATATATATATATTTCTCTATGTATTATTTTACTTTTTTTTTTTTATTTTTATGAAACAGAAATATCGACTATTCTCACCTAAACACACAAATCGTAAAACAATTAAAATAATAATAATTTAATATTTTTTCTTAAAAAAATATATTATATTTTTATAGAGAATGTTAAATATTGTTTATTATGATAAAAAAAAAAAAAAAAAAAAAAAAAAGAAAAAAAATAATATATAAAAAAACAAGATAATGTAAAAATAGTATTTATGTATATGCAAAAACAAAATAAGCAATGAAATTATAATTTTTTAGTATTATTATAATATTAATTAAGGTAATTTTTATGCATATGTATATACATATATATATATAATTGTTTTAAATTTTTTTTCGTTAAAAAAATAATACAAAATAAATGGTACTACTTGTATAATAAGATAATAAAAATTGATGAAACCTACTTATATAAATTTAAAATGTAACAATAATAATGGTTTTAAAAAAAAGTAAAAATAATAGTAATAATAATATAAATAACACATCTGAAATTAAAAAAAATTCAGCTTTAGTTGATTCTTTAAATGCAAAGAATAAAAAGAAAAAAAGAAAATACCATGAAAAATTACCTGATTTTTCTTGTTTAAAAAAATTAATATATGAACAAAAAAAAAAAGATAATTCATATAATTTATTTTCATTCAATGATCCATATATAAAAGAGAAAATTGATAAATTTAATAAAATAATTGAAAACAGACAAGAATATTCAAATATTGAAACTAATGAAGAAGATGAAATTACTAAAAATTTTTGTGAGACTTCAACTTTTGGATATACTTTTATTGATAAAGTTTCAAATTTTGCAAATAAAGAAGATATAGAAGACTTAATACAACATGATGAAGAAGATGAAGAAGAAGAAAATGAAGAATTTAATGAAAATGAAAAAAGGGAAAAAAATAAAAAAAGAGAAGAATGTAATAAAGGAGTAGAAAGAAATAAAGAAGGAAATATATTTAATAAAAAAGGTATTATAGACTTAAAAAAGAAGGATATGATTTTAGACCAATTAAAATTAAAGTTTGATGAATTTAAAATAGATACATTAACTATTCCTCAAAAACCTGTTAACTTTATTGATGAAAATGGAAAGGAGAAAAAGAAACTTTTTATTTTTAATATAAATAGTAACAATAATAAAAAAAAAAATGAAAAAAAAAGAATTCAAATAATATATGATGAACAAAAAACAGAAGATAAAGAGGATATTGTAACCCTTGTTAATAAAATAAATGATCAGAAGGAATCCTATTTATATTTTGCTGTTAAAGATAATGAATTATTATTAAATAGAAATAATGATTATTTTAGTATAATGATGCATTATTTATGTGAAAAATCAAGTAATATAAATATTCAGATGTTATATTATCTAATCATGAAACCTCCCAATATGGATATGTTGTTATATTTGATTTTGACTTATTATAAATTTAATTTTTTAGATATTTTAGAACATTATGAGAATATTTGTATTAATAACATTATTGAAAGTACCTTTGAAGAAATTTCCTTATATGACTACTATTATTATTTTTTTCATATCCTTGAAATATCTCATGAACATTATTATATGTCAATAGAATTATTTAATGGAATGAAGTTTTTGTTAGATAAATATAATTTTTTTTTAGGCAGAATGCATAAGAATTCAATTTTCTCTAAAACCAAATTTGTTTTAGGTATGGGTGATATTCAGAATATAAAAAATATTTTTTTAAATACACATAATAAAAACTCAAAAATTGAAAATCAAAAAGTTCAAGAAAACTTTAAAAACAATGAAGATAGTACAACAGATGGAAGTGAAAATGAAAATAAAAAAGATCCTATAGTTAACAAAAATAATGAAGACGAAAAAAATATTATAAATAGAAAAAATGGTGCTTTACAGTATATATTAAATACAAAACTAGATTTTATAAATTATCAACAAAAGAATTTTTTTAACGAAACACACTGGGATGAAATAGAAAACTACTATCATTTAAACAATTTAGACAAACTAGTATATTTTACAAAAGATTTATATTATAAATTTACGAAAAAAAATATATATATGAAATTAAATGAAATAACTTGTGAACAAAAACATTTTGATAAAATACAAATTATTGAATATTGTAAAAAAAAAATTCCATTCTACAAAAAAAATGTCAAATTTATGAACTTTTTGGGGGTATATTCTCATTCTTTCATCTGGCAAATATATTGTCTAGAATTGGAACTATTTTGTGTGTTAAAATTCAAACGAATCAATTCCGAATTTATATCTCATAAAGAAAAATTTGAAGAAGATAAAGAAAAAGAAAAAGAAAATGAAAAGATAAATGAAAAACATTTAGAAAATTTCAATAAAAATATTATAAAAACTAATAATGATTTTTCAAGATATGATGACAATTTTCCTATTTTAAAAGAAAACAGTGACTTTATTAATGATGAAGGCATAATAAAAATGTTATATAAAAATGAAAAAGTAAAAAATGAATTAAATGAAAGAAAAAGGGAAAACTTTTATAATTTAAAAGATATTGAAGATGAAATAAATAATGCATTAATTGTTTTCAAAAATTATGTTAAAGAAAAAAATATACAAAATTTATTTTTTCCAATTTCTGTGGAAATGGATAAAAATTTAGTTGAAAAAACTAAGTATATTAATGGAACTCCTTTAAATGAATTTATATATAGTGAATTTTTATCAGGGATTGACTTAAAATTACGAGTTTTTAAGTTAAAATGTATAATATTAAAAATAATTAAAATTATTTTAACATTTTTAAATTTTGATTTTCTTATTATTCTTAAATGTTCCAGGTTATTTTTGAAAGAAGATAATCTACTTATAAATGCAGGGATGCCTTTAGGTTTATTATCAAATAATACATTGTGCTTTCTTTTAAATAATATTGATGAAACGATAGCAACAAAAACATATAGTAAAACTATTTTTTATTATTTGCCACCAGAAATAATAAATAAACTAAATACACTTAATAATGAAAATGTAAAAGAGAATAATAAAAAAGATATGAATTATAATCCTTATGAAAAAAAATTCGATAATAATAATTGTTTTTTATTTGATGATAAAATAAAATTACAAAAAGCATATTCATATATGATTGGCAAGATATTTGAAGAAACATTAATCGACACCTTTACAGGAGACAAGTTTGACTATTTCAATTTTGATGAAAATGTTAAAGATTTTTTGTTATGCTGTCTTGAAGGGGATCCCGAACAAAGAGAACCTCTTGAAAATTTATTAAATCACAAATGCTTTTTTGATTGTTTCGATCTATATATAAATATTTATGATGATAAGATTAATTCTTATAAAAATGATAAAGAAAAGGCAATTCGATTACGAGATTTGAACTACATAAATAATTTTGATTATAATAATATTTTTAGTATACCATCTGAACATTCATCTAGACCACCTTCATTTTCTCATTCGAAATCAATTACAGAATCTAGTCAGCTCTCCACTTCAAATACGTAGTATTATTTTTTATATTAGAAATGTGTATTATTTATTTCATTGAATATTCAAATTTATAATACTATTTATTATATAAAATATTTAAAATTTAAAAATATATGATATTTTTATCTTTATTTGTTTATAATCCAAATTACAAGCGTAAAATTTGAAAATAAAAAACTATTAATATAATTTAAATTTATTTTTAATTTCAAAATAATTTTATTTTTAAAAAAGAAAAGGAAGAAGAAAAAATTTATTTTTTTGGAAACAAAAAAAAAAAAAAAAAAATAAAATAAAATAATAAAATAAAATAATATAATATAATATATTATAATAAAAAATAATAATATATTTAAAAAAATAAATTAAAGATTTTTATAAAATTTAATGCTGCGATTTACTTTTGATTAAATATGGTAATAATATTTCTATACATTTTTGAAGATTTTCATAACTTTTCCCTCCTGTTAAAGTTATATTACCTGTGGAAAAAATACTAGCCGATATAATATCTACCTTATTTTTTTCTTTTTCAGCTGTGCTTTTTATACTCCACCAGGCGTATTGACTATTATTTTCCTTTAGTACAAACAAAAAGCAAAACATAATAAATAAATGAACAATATCTTATATATAAAAAAAAAAAATATCAATTTTAAAATTTAAAAGAAAATATATAAAATATTTATTACTTCATGTTTTCCATCATAGTTTTTTTCATTATCATTTACCAAAGCAATTTTAACTTTACAAGCTGGAAACACATTTGGGTCATAATCCACCTGAGATGTAATAAAATTTAAAAAAAAAAAAAAAAAAAAAAAAAAAAATATTACACACATACTTAAATTTCGTTAGTAATTTTTATTTCCAGATAATTATATATATATATATAAAATGAGTTTCATTAATAAGGTGTTATGTATAAAATTTTTATTAAAAATAGCTTAAGATTTAAATATATATATATATATATATATATATGTAATAATTTTTTTCGAAATTTACACTTTTATAATATTGAGCAAACAATGGTAAAACTATTGAGAATCCTACATTATATACAGCTAAAATGTTTGTAATGGTTATTTTTTTTAATTTTATATTTTTAAAATTTAGCTGTTTTAATTTTTTTTCAATTTTTTTCATGGCAATTTTACAAGCTTCTATTGAATTATTTCCTGTACATATTATTTTTCCATTAGAAAATATAGAAACATTTATAATTAACTTTTTATTAATCACATCATTATCAGTGATGTTTTCAATTATATAATTAGTTGTATCGTTTTTTGTGTCAGAAATATCTTCATTTGTGTTATTGCTAATATTTTCCTTTTCACATATAGAAATATCCTTTACAATATTTTCATTAATTTTCATAGAGTCTTTATTATTGTCTATTATTTTGTCATTAAATATTACTTCTTTTTTTTTCTCACACTTTGCTTTTTCATTTTCTATATCATTATTCTTTATGTCATTATTTTTTATATTATTATTTACATTATTATCTTTTTTTTCTTCTTCATTTTTTGAATGTTTTTCATTAATTTTCTCTTGTTTTTCATCTTTTAATTTATATTTATCATCTCTTTCTTTTTTATTATTCATGTAATTTACATACTTTTTTACAGTTTTTATACTAACAGGAACATCTATTCTCATACATTTAAATTCTCTAGGATTATAAATACAATTAGAAAAATATTTATATATACTATCAAGATTTAACGATGAACACAATACTGCATTCATAGAAATATTATGAACACTCATATTATTTTCATTTTTAATAAAAATATTATTTATTTCATTATTATTTAATTTTGTTTTTTTAGAAGGATTACACATTTTAAATTGAATTTTTTTCTTTTATTATCCTTTTATTTTTTCGTTTTTACGTATAAATAATTCATTAAAAATAAAAAAAAAAAACATTTGAACAATATTTAAACAAATTGAATTAAAAAGTTTTTATCTATTTATAATTTTTATAAATATAATAATAAATTATAAAAAAATATAAATAAGTAATATTATATATTTATGAAATTTTTAATAAATCATTGTCTTTATTCTTCATTGTAAAAAATAATAAAAAAAAAAAAAAAAAAAAATTATATATATATAAATATAAATATAAATATATATATATATATAAATATAAATATATATATATATATAAATATATATATATTTTCAATTTCTTATATTCTTTTTTACATTATTAAAGTTTTACATTAATATATATTTAATTCTATAATAAAATAAACTATTATAAAATATTTGAAGTCTTATCAAAATACATTAGTTACTTTACAGATAGTTTTTAGATATTTAAACTATATTTTTTTGTACATTAAATTGATTGAAAAAAAGAATTATTTAAATTTATTAGTTAATGGAAAAAATAAATATTAATGAGAAAAAAAAAAAAAAAAATAAATAAATATATTCAAAGAGATTCTTAATTAGTAAACCTTATCTTTTTAAAAAATTTCATAAAACCAAAAAAACTTAAGCAACATAATTTATATTAATATTTTTCTATATTAAACAATAGTTATGAAAATATAAATACATATATTTTTAGAAATTAATATACATGTAATTTTGTGGTTTTTAACTTTTTTTTTTTTTTTTTTTTTTATTTTTTTTTATAGAAGTAGAAAATATATGAGATGCACTTAAATATTTATTTATATTTATATATACAGTAATTAAATATTTTAAAAGAAAGTATAAACATTTTTAGCTAAAGATTCAATGTACTTAACTTTTTTTTTTTTTTTTTTTTTGTTTTTAATCTAAAAATATTTTACTAATATGTAAATAATAAAATATTTTACAACTAAACATATGGAATCTCTATACAAAAACTTGATTATATAGGAACGCTCCTACTCTTTATATTTTGTATAAAAATGAAAAAAGCTTTATATATATATTTATATATATATAGATATAGAGAGAAAAAAATAATGAATATATTAAAGTAAGTACATATGAAAATATGTAAAAAAACTATTCTATTTTAATAGAAGAAAATAAAAATAACATGAAATATAAAATAATAATTAAGATATAAATTCTATATAGAAAATATGTTGATATAAAATTTGATAATTTGTATAATAAAAACATTTAATTAATTCTGTTTCTAATTTACATAAAATAGTGTTCTAAAAAAAAAAAAAATAAAAAATAAAATAAAATAAAATAAAATTAAATAAAATCCTCAATATAATTAATCATTATATTAAGAATATTTTAAGAAATGGAAGAGGATGAAGATGCAGATGAAGAAGAAATAAAAAAGAGTAAAAAGAAATTAAAAGAAAAAATAAAAACTATTATAATAGAAGAAAAAGAAAGAAAAGATATAGAAAATAAAAAGGGAGATCATATAAATGAGAAAACAATAGAAAAAAACTTAAAAGAAATGGAAAATGAAGAAAAAAAAAAAAGAGGAGTAGAAGATAAACAATATAGGAAAAATGATGAAAAAGAAAATTTAGAAACTTCGAATGAAAAGAATAATAATAGTTATAATTACAAAACAATAAACAACTTTTTTTTTCGGAAAGATTCGAAGTTAGAAGATACGAAAATATGTGATGCATGTAATTACTGTGACGATACTTGCTTCTCTTTGTTATGTAAGAATTGCAAAAAAAAAAAAAAAAATTTATACAAAAAATATAAAAATTCGAAAAATAATAACTTAAAAATATGCGAAAACCAAATGAAAAAAATATTTTGGTTGAATAAAAAAATACATGAAAGTATAATCTTTACTAGTTATAAAAATGAGAAAAGAGATATTAAAAATAATAATAATGAAAACAAAAAGAAAGATGAAGAAAATACAAATAGTAAAAAAAAGATAGATACTTCAGATAATAATTATAGGAAATTTAATTCTAGTATCGATGATAAGGATATCATGTATAAAAATAATAATGATGAAGAAAAAGATAATTATAACACTTTAAATTATATAATTAACAAAAATAAAAATTATGTGCATTCAGAAAGTGACCGTGAAAGAACATCGGAATATAACTTTACTAAATATAAACAATATTTTACTAAATGTGAAATTGAAAGACATTGTAAAATAGATGACTGTTGGATAATAGCGAATGGATATGTTTATGATGTAACAACAATTATTAAATATCATCCAGGTGGAATTAACTGTATTTTAAAAAAAGCTGGTAAAGATACAACAGTAGATTATTATTTCCATTCAAAATATGCTCAAAAAAATTTTTGGGAACCCTTAAAAATTGGCAAAGTTGTCAAATGTAAAAAAGATATTTTAGAAGAAAAAAAGAAAAAAAATTTAATATCAACAAAAAAAAGAAATTTATGTATATTTATGTGATATATATATTTTTTCTCCTAACACGAAACATATATGTCTTATATATTTGTTATGATGAAAACCTTTACTTCATTTTTAAAAATAAAATTATATATTTTATAAAATATAAATTTTATATACTTAATTTTTCTTATAATCATTTAGCAAATATTATTTATTTTTAATTTCATGTTTTTTAAGGTTTATTGATATGATATAATTTTAAAAGATAGAAATTAAAATAAGCATTTGTTTTTGTATTAAATATATATAAATATATATTTATATATTCATTTTTATTTACCTTTTAAATTTTGTATATTTTGTATTTCATTTTATTTAATTATTTTTTTTTTTTTTTTTTTTTTTTTTTTTTTTTTTTTTTGTAGTAAAACAAACTTTATTATCATATTAAAATTATACATTTAATAAAAATTCCAATTTACATTTTTTAAAATATGACAAATCTATTTTTTTTTTTTTTATATGATCTGTAATATAACCTCTGAAAAAGTTGTATGTTCTTATTCTTTCACTTCTATTACCCACTTTTATCTATAAAAAAAAAAAAAAGAAAAAGTTGTAAAATTTAAATTAAAAATGTTTTATTATTATTTTAATTAAAAAAATTAAATGAATTAAACATAAAATATAAGAAAGTAAACAAAAAAAAAAAAATTTACCAATTTAACTCTTTCATTTTGAATTAAACTTTTATTTTCTTTAATTTTCATTTCCCTTATTTTAAGAATTAATCTTTTCATAGCTATTTTTTTATTTAATTCTTGTGTTCTATAAAATAAGAAGAAAAAAAATTATTCACCATTTATTATTTTTAAAAATAAAAATAAATTTTTTTTTTAACCTCTCTTCTTGGCATTCAGCTTGTATATTTGTAGGTTTATGTAAAATACAAACGCCTGATTCAATCTTAGAAATATATAAAAAAAAAAAAAAGAAAAATTACAATTCGAAGAATAAATTTAATTTTTTTTTTATTTATTTTGACTATTTTAATCATACTTTATTGACATTTTGTCCTCCTGGTTTGCTAGATCTAAAAGTTGTAATTTTTAAATCTTTCAAATTAATTTCATTTTTAATTTTTTCATCTTCATGAATAAAAATTGCAATTGTAGCAGTAGAAGAATGAATCTTATCCTTTATTAATTAAAATTAAAAAAAATATATGTTTTTTTTTTTTTTTTTTTTTTTTTTTTTAAATTAATTTAATTACCTTAGATTCATTATCTGGAACTCTTTTTACTTGATGAATTCCACTTTCATTCTTAAAAAGATCATACAAACTTAAACTAATTTCTTTTCCTTCTTTATTTATAATTATATTATCATTTGAACTTAATATTAACGAGTTACATATATCCTTTAGAACAAAAAAAAAAAAATAAGTAAATATATCAATAAATAAATGAAATAATATAATAATTATATTAAGAATATTAATATGTCTTATTAATATGTTTTAATTAAAAATTTTTTACCTGAACTTCTTTAACTGTACATTTATTCTTTTCAGCAAATGTTTTATAAGTCTTGAAAAAAAGAAAAAAAATAACATATAAATCATATTATGGATATTATTAATTTTACTTAATCTTAATTACAAAAATTTAAATAAATTACATTTTTTTTTTTTTTTTTTACGAACATTTAGTAATTCCTTTGACCACGATAAAGCTTCATTTCCACCTACAGCAGGACGAAATTCTATACGTATCAAATTTCTATTCTCAAATAGATTATCTTTCTTTTTTTTTAAATTTAGATGATATAATTTCCTTTTTAAAATATTATTTTTTCTTTTTATTACTTTTTTTATAAAATTGTTTTTCTAATAGAAAAAAAAAAAAAAAAAATTGCTATTCTATATTACTTTTGTGTAATAACCATTCTAATTTTATATTTTTTTTTTTTTTTTTTTTTTTTTTTTTTTTACATAATCACATTGTAATTTATTTTTAACAAAATACACATATTAAAACTTACTTGTTTTATATAAAAACTAGACACATAATTAAATAAAATACATAACAAAAAATTAAAAATACAAAATATTTTATTCATAATTAAATCAGGAATATTTTATTTAAAACTTCCATTATTATTAGAAAATCTTCATTTACATTTCTAAACTATTTAATAAAATCATATTTTTTTTTTTTAATTTAAATAAGATATTATAATTTTAATGAAACGTTGTTTTTTTTTTTTTTTGGAAAATTAATCACACATAAAAATAAAAAAAAAATTAAATAAGAACTTAGACTAACACTAAATATGATAAAAATTAATAAAATAAAAAGAATAATATTCAACAAAACATATATCAAATAAAAAATAATACAAAAAAAAAAATATATATATATATATATATATTTCATAAGATTATAATGTAATTTTTAAAATATAAGTAATCTATATAAATTTATATTTTTATCTTTTTTTTTCTTTATATTTAGCCAAAAGAAAAAATATATATATATATATATATATAAATTATAAATTCATTAATAAGCAAATAATTAAAAAAAAAATGTATTAATAAAAAGAAAATTAAAAACAGAAACAAATGTATTTAAAAATATTAAAAAGAGAATTAAAAAAAAAAAAAAAAATTAAAATATTTAAAATTAAAAAGAAAAGTAAATAAATAAAACATATAAAAAAAATAATCATTTTTTTGAATAAAATTGCTTTATATAATTTATTAAAGAAGATTCATTTTCAAAATTCTTTTTTATATTTACTCTAATCATATGAGCGTTGTATATAATGTTTAAATTATCTTCATTGCTAACAATATTAGAAGGGTTTTCTGTAGAATTTTCATAATCGATTATATTTAATGAAGGATTTGAATTCATTTTTTGGCTTATTTGTACATGGATATTTATATTTTTATATTTCAATAAACTGTTTTCAAATTTTGATGTTTCAACCAATGGAGTTATTCTACACTCACACTATTATTAAAAGTAAAACAAAAAAAAACAAAAAAAAAAAACAAAAAAATTAATCTAAAATTCTTATATTTTATTAAACATTCTTTTTTTTTTTTTTTTTTTTTTTTTTTTTTATCTTTACCTTAATTCCATTTTGAATTAAATTATTGTATAAAGAAAATGCATAAACTAATAATTTATATGCTTTAATTGTTATTACTACATTAGGAGAATGAAAATCAATTAGCATATTAGAATAATTATTTTTATTCACTTCCTAAATATTTAAAAAAAAAAAAAAATAATAAAAATAATGCATTTTTTATAACTAATATATTAAAACACATAAAAACATTAATTGCTACACTTAATTATAAAAAATAAAAAATTATGAAAATTTACAGATACAAATATTTATAAATTTATATTAAACCATTAGAAATATATAATTATATATGTATGTGTGGATATATAAATTATATTTATTAATATAAAAAAGAACATGTTAAAATTTAAAATTAAATATAAAAAATAATTAAAATAGTTTAGAATGTCTATATAAAAGATAAATTTGAAAATTTTATTATTTTGTTTATAATTTTTTTTTTTTTTTAAATTAATATATATTTACTTGAAATATAATACTTGAAATAGTATCTACAAAAATTTCAAAAGTAATATTATAAGTTGCTTTTGTTGGTGTTCTTTCAGAATTTGAAAAAATATCTGTTGATACTCCTCCATATGATAATAAAAGTTTTTGATTTTTTTGCGAATAAATATTAAAAGCAAAAGAAAACCCAAATAAATGATAATAGTTATTCATAAAAAAATCCCATACAAATATTTGATTGGAATCATTAAAGTAGTGAAAAAGATTATTTAAATAAATGATACAAGAAATTATATAATTCATGAATTTTTTATTCTTATGGTTTTTTAGTTCATACATTTTGCTTACTTTTTTCATTTTAGAATTTATGTGATCTTTTTCATCATATATAACTGAATAAAGGATTTTTAATATTTTTTCATCATATGTTATATCTAAAAAATGAAGTAATTTTTTTAAATTCTTATATGAAATATTCCCCTCTTTAAAATTGTTATAAATAAAATATGCTTTGCTACAATCTAAAGAAAGCATATCTTTAATTAGAGAAAGAAGAAAATCAGTGAATGTCCATTTAATTATTAAAGTGCTCAAATAATGGTCAAATTTTAGTAAAATATCAATAACATTATACAATATTATTAACTGATATATACAAAAGGATATATTAATTTCTGAATTATTGCCACTATAAATAAAAATATCTTTTTTGTTATCAACTGTAATTATATTACTATATATAATACTGTTTTCTCTTTTTATTGTTTTCTGTTTATTATTTTCAAAAAAATAATTTTGAAAAAAGGAAAATGAACTAGTAAAAACTCTGTTAAATGTATAATGAGGAATTAAATTTAAATATGCTTCAGTTAAATAAAAAGGAATATATAATAACTTATTATTTTTATCAATAAATGTAATTCTTTGATTAAATCTACTTCCAATCATACATTTTTTCTTTTCCTCATTTTCAATTCTTGATTCTAACAATATATTATTTTCTAATAATGTATGTGTATTTAATTCATTAGTTTCATTTAAACGTGATGTATTCTTTTTGTTTACTTTTGATATATTGCTATTGAAAACATTTTCTTGAAAATTTAAGAAAAAATTATCTTCTTCATGATTTCCTTTTTTTTCTGATAAAAAATATTCTTGTTCATTATCATTCCCATTATTATTATTTTCTTTTTTACTTGAATTTTTCTTATTATTACAAATATTTTTAAAATTTTTTAATTTTGCAGAATTTTTTCTATAAAAATTTTCTACAGAATGATTAATATTTTTTTCGTTCTTTTTCTTTTGGGAATTATTTTTGGAAAAACTTTCAACAAATTCATCAGATGGACTTTTTTGAATTTTTAATTTTTCAAAATCCTCATCTTCTTTATTCTCATAATTATTGTTATTTTCTTTAATTATTCTTTTTTTTTTTTGACTTATTTTCTCTGTGAATTTATTCTGTACCTTTTGCATAAAATTTATATCATAAAAATTTTTTTTTTTTTTTGTTACTAATTGAAATATAAGCGGTTGATTAAAAGTAGATAGTTTTTTTGATAAATTCCAGTTGAAATATTCAAATATATAACTGTTAATAACATCATATTCATATGTAGACTCATGTAAATAATGATAAGTATTATTATTTTTTTCAAATGGTAAATGTTTACATTTATTATTATATAACAAAATATTTAAAACATTACTTGATTCAATGGAAGAATTATTTTTTAATTTTTGCAAAAAATATTTAAATAAATCTCTCTGTATAACAATTGGAATTAATGGATAATTTAATAAACCTTCAGCGGTTATTTTATGCACTTTATCATTATGAATCATATTTCTATTGCTAATATTAAAATAATTATAATTATAATTATAATTATTATTATTATTATTAATGTTATTATTATTATTATTATTATTATTATTATTATTATTATTATTATTATTATTATTATTATTATTATTATTACTAATATTTATATTATTATTGTTATTATCATTATTAATGTTATTATTATTATTAATATCATTATTATCATTCTCATTCTCATTCTCATTATTATTATTATTATTATTATTATTATTATTATTATTATTACTATTATTTATATTATTATTGTTATTATCATTCTCAATATCATTCCCATTCTCATAATCATTATTATTATTATTATCATTATTATTATTATTATTATCATTATTATTATCATCATAATCATCATTATTATTGTTATTATTATTATTGTTATTATCATCATAATGATTATTATTATTATAATTCTCATTCTCATTATTATTATTATTATCATTATTATTATCATCATAATCATTACTATTATCATAGTTATTATTATTACTATTATTCATATTATTATTGTTATTATCATCATCATCATCATTATTATTATTATTATTATCATCATAATCATCATTATTATTATTATTATTATCATCATAATCATCATTATTATTATTATCATCATAATTATTATTATTATCATCATAACTAATGTTTTCAGAATTATTAATATTATTTTCATTATTATTATAATTATTTATATTATTATTACTACTATCAATGTGATTAATATTATTACTACTTATACCATTATATTTATTTTCATCATTAATATTATATTTAACATTATTAATATAATTTTCATTATTACTGCTTGTTTTTTTATCATCATTATTATCATTATTGTTAATATAATTTTCACAATTATTAATGATGTTCTCAATATTGCTTTTATAACAAATATTATTGCAATTAACAAAATAATTCTTATTATTTTCATTATTATTAAAATTAATAATATTATTAGTTCTATTATCAATGTTTTTAACATTATTGTTACTAATATAATTATAATTATTTTTATCATTGTTAATATTATTTATATCATTATTATTATCATCATCATCATTATGACTATCATTAGTTATATTAACATCGTTGTTATTACTATAATTATCATCTTTCAATTTATTGATATTTTCCTTTTTAAAAATATGAGATGAATTATTAAAATGATCTGAATAATTATTAGTTGTAGCACATTTCATTTGTTTGTTTTCATTAAAATTACAATATTCCAATTCTATGCTATTTTTTAAAAGTATTTTAATATCTTCTTTTTTTGCTAAATATATTTCTGACTCTATTCTATTGAAAGATATGACATTATGTTTATCTTTATAATTAGAAAATATATTAGAAGAATCATTAAATTGTATTAAATCATTTTCTTTGTAATTATCTATGTCATTTTTATTAAAAATTTTTTCTTCTTTTTTAAATTTTGGATTAATTAAATCCTCATTATTTATAATTTTGTTATTCCATGCATTTTCAACCATTTTATCATCTTTTCCCATATTTTCATTTTTTATACTATAATCAGGGTAAATTTCTTTATCTTTTTTTTTTTTATTTTTTTTTAGATCATTCTTATCTTCACTTTCTTCAACTTTTATATTTAAATTAAAGATATCAGCATACTCTAATTTACTAATATTTTCGTTTGTTTCATAATTAAATGTGCTAATTAAAATATATTTTAAAACCCTAAAAGCATCATTATCTATATAATTAATAAAATCATCAGAAAATGTTTTTTTTTTAATCATATTTTTTATATTTAATAATTTTTCCTCTTTTGTTTTAAACGGGATATGCCATAATTCATATAAAACTAATCCTAGAGAAAAGAGATCTAATTCTTCATAATCATATTTTTTTTTATTTAAACAATTATAAAAATATTGATTATAAGAATGAATATAGAAATCTTTATATTCTTTTGATTGTTCATTCGTATTTTTATCTATCATTTTTTTTTTTGCATCATTTCTAAAGTAATTAAAAACAGAATTTTTTTTATCTTTTCCAATATCTTCTTCATAATTTTCTCCGTTTTCTTCATTTTCTTCTTTTTTATCATCACCTTCAGTGCAATTTTCTTTTTTCTCTGTATCTTTAGTTTCTTCTAAATTATGATCATACTGTTCTTTCATAAAATCATTAAAGTAAGAAGAATTATTTGTATAAGAATAATGATAAAAATAAAAATAATCTATCATATTACAAATGCTATAATTTACAATCTTGATATGAACACCATACTCATCATTATCTATATAAATATTTTGTGTATTCAAATTTTTAATATAAATTTTCCGTTTATGTAAATAACTAATTGATTCTAAAATTTGTCTAAAAATATTCCAAATTAAATATTTATTATTTTGAAAAAAGTTATTTTCAATTTCTCTTTCTAATATTTGTCCTTTACAATATTCACACTGAATATATAAAATTTTTTTTATATTTTCTTTTTTATTTAATATATTTTTTATATATTGAATATTTTTTTTAAATATTAAATTATTATTACTTGTAATAATTTTCTCTTTGTTATTTTTCACATCTGAAATATTTCTTTTAATATTCAAATTTTTATTATCTCCATATTTTTCATCAATTATCTTTCCATTAATATAATGCACACTTTCCTTTTTATCAATAACTTCTTTAATTTCTTCTTTTTGTAAATTTTTATTATTCATGAGTAAAATATCATCTCTCATCGAATCTTTCATATTTATAGTAGTATCTGATTCTTTTAGATCTCCTTTTTTATCTTTATTTTTATTTTTTTTTTTGAATTGAAAAAGAGAATTGTTTAAAGTATTATCATCATAATTACTGTTGTTATTATCATAATCTTTATTATTTTTACAATTTATTATATCATCAAAATATATCACTTTATTTTTGTCTAACATATTAGAATTATAATTGTCTTTTTTTTCATCTTTTTTCATTTCTTTTATTTTTTCTTTACTTTCTTTATTTATTTGCTGATTGGAATATTCATTTTTCATATAATTTTCATAAAAGTTATCATCTTCATTAGAATTATTTTCAAATATTCTTTTTAAAATTAACTTTTTCATTATTTCATTTATTTTATATATTTTTCTTTCTCTATTTTTTTCATCATTTATAATTTTTTCTTTTTCAAACCAAGAGAAGTGATATCTAGCTAAGTATTTATGTTGTATTTTTGCTAACTTTGCTAATTCGCATATTATTTTTTTTATGTTTATTTTACGAATCATTCTATAATGATGTATTATTTTTTTCAAACATACATGATTTAATTCATTTAAAATGTGATATAAATTTTTCTCATTTTTTTTGCTAACAACACAATTTTTATTAGCATAAAATTGATATTCACTACAAAAAAAATTAATAGATGGATAATCAACTAATTTTTTTTTTTTTTTTGAGGAACTATTTAAATTATTTATATCATTTAAAAATTCTTTAAATATTTGTTCATTTTTTTTATTTTTTTTTTTCTTTCCTTCTTTTTTATCATTTAAAATATTGCAATATAGATTAAATCCTCTATTGCAAAATATAATATGATTAAGAAAAAATGTTAAAAAGTGAAAAATATTTAATAATATATATGAATGAATAATATATACATTCGTATCAATACTATGTTTTACTATAAATGTGTTTCTATAATAATTTATAACAATATTTTTAACAATATAAAAATTCTTAAAATTATTTTCTCTGCATTGTATCATATTATATTTGTTAGAAAAATTTACTAAATTTTTAGAATTTAATTTATCTTCTAATGTATCTATTCTTTTTTCATTTTTTTGCTTTTTGTTAATTTCTAAATTTTCATTTATCATACAGCTGTTTATAGAAGAAAATCCAGAAATGCTGTTGAAATCATATATATTTAAAATATATTTTTCATCATTTATTATATTTTTGTAATTGTTATTTTCAAAATATATCTTATCTGTTTTATTTTCTTCATTATCTCTATGAATTTTATATTCTTTAAAATAATCATTAAAATTTACTTTTTTATCATTTTCATCATAATTAATTATTTTTTCATTTTTCTCCCCCTTTTTAGATTTACTATCATCTATTCTATATTTCATTTCCTCCCATAAATTTTTAAAATCATTACTAAAAGTCTTATTAATATATTCATTTAAAAATATACAAATATCAAATAAAGTTATTCTCCCATAATTTTTTGCACATATTTTTTTAATATTTATATTAATAAAATTCAATTGTTCTTCATTTAATTTAGCATTCATATTTATCATAACATTTGGATAAGAATTAGGATATTTATTTTCACAACAAAAGGTTATTTTATACTTTTGAAAATCATTGTCAAAATTAAAAAAAACACAAAATTTTAAACAATTATTTATATTTATCTCATCATTTATATTAACTATTATAACAGAATTTAATTCTTTGCTTTTTTTTAAAAATTCTTCATTGCTCATTATATCATTTGGTAAATCTTCTTTTTTTAAATGTCTATAAAAAATGAACAAAAAAATAAGACAAACAAAATATAATATCTAAAAGGTATTTTTTTAGAAATAAATTGAAATTTTTCTTTTTTTTTTTTTTTTTATATATACCCAATATTTTCTATATATAAAGGAAAATAAATATGATGTAAAGCTAAAATTTCTTCTATTTGTTCTTCATATAACTCCTTATATTTTTCTTCGTAGCATTTTTTTTTTGGCTTTTTTTTGTTCTCTAAAAATATAAAAAGAAAAGATTTGTAATGTTATATTTGTTAAAATACTACTAGTATATATATAAAATATAACATTTAAGTTACATAAATTTAAAAAAAATTTATAGAATTTGTATTTTATATTTTTTTTTTTTTTTCCGACACCATTATTTTTAATGTTATGATTTCTTTTCTTTTTTTTTTTATTCTTCTTAGTATTAATATCATTTTCTACAATTGAGTCATTAAGCATATTAAAATTAAAAAGAATTTTGAAATGCTTCTAAAAAAAAAAAAAAATTCACAGATTTCCAATTATTTTTTTTTTTTTTTTTTTTTTATTATACACACAAAAAAGAAAAAGAAAAATAAAAAGAAATTTAAAAAGAAAACTAAATTTTAATTAAGTTTTTAACACTAATCATTTATTCATTCATTTTTTTTTTTTTTTTTTTTATATATATATTTTTATAATGATAATTTTAAAGAATTTTTTAATTTTTAATATATATTTTTTTTAATAAAATTTTCTTTTTTTCTGGGTTCTTTAAAAATGTCACATATTATCATTTTAATTATTCATATTAAAAAAAAAAAAAAAAAAAAAAA